ATAGGGTACCATACCTTGTTCCATCATTGTTAGTGACAGGAGATACAAGAGCATACAAAGATTAGAAGGGAGCCCTGGCCGGGTGGCTCAGGTAGTTGGAGTGTTGTCTTGTACATCAGCAGGTTGCGGGTTCAGTTCCCATCAGGGCATATACCCAGGTTGTGGGTTCAATCCCCAGTCCCAGGTTGGGGAGCATACAGGAGGCATCCATCCAATTGATGTTTCTTTCTCACATTGCTGTGTCTCTCTTCACATCCCCTCATTCTCTTTCTTTAAAAGCAATGAAAAAAATGTCCTCAGGTGGGGATTAAAAAAAGAAGTAAAACCCAGATATACTAATCCAGTAAGTGTTTCCAGAAGCCTGCCCAAGTTGTTAGGGAGGGACATACCTCAGAGCCCGGCCGCCAGGTCGCAGCGGGCGGGTGGAGGTTTCAGTGCCTCTCGGGTGGTAGATGCCTCCATGCACTTGTGTGTCTGTGTAGGGGTAGAGAGGTAGGGGTGAGATAGAGAAGCGAAATGTGTGAAGTCACTGGAAGTAGTGGGAAGATAAGACAGTAAAACAAACATCGGAGAAAGGCAAACTGGCAGTCAGATGGAGGAATCAGGAACTCAGTGAGGGGAGCCGAAGAGGGCAGGATAGCAGAGCCATAACAGAAGCTCTGCTCTCTGTTTTATGATGAGCTGGATCACCCTGTACGCGCAGGTTTGGGTGTTACATGGTCTAAAGGTAGGTTTCTAACCACTTTCCAGGGTGTTATTCCATATAGTCTCTCTTTTTGTAATTTTTTAAATTTGTTATTTTATTTTTTGTATATATATTTATTCTTTTTTAAAATTATTTTTTATTGATTATGCCATTACATTTGTTCTATTTCCCCCTTCATTCCCCTCTACCCTGCACACCCCTCCCCCACCATTCCCCCCCTTTAGTTCATGAACACGTGTCTCAAGTTCTTTAGATTCTATATTTCCCCTACTATTCTTGCCCTCCCCCTATCTATTTTCTACTTACCGTCTATGCTGCTTATTTTCTGTACCTTCTCCCCCCTTCTCCTTCTCCCACTCCCCTGTTGCTAACCCTCCATGTGATCTTCATTTCCATGGTTCACTCCCGATCTAGTGTCCTCTTAATTTGCTTTTGTTTTAGGTGTGGTTGCTAGACAGTTAAAGTGCTTCTCAGATAAGATCAAATTCAAGGAGTTCATCATCACCAATCCCTTATTATATGAAATGTTAAAGGGACTTACCTAAGAAAAAGAAGATAGAAAAGATGAACAGTGAAAGGACAGCATACAGTCTTAACATTACATCTGTGGTGGGCATAGCAAATGATTTCCTCTTCTTGACCTACCACACAAAAACTGCTGGGAGGTTACTTTCTGTTTTTTAAGGTCACACAGCTCCAAAGTAGCTTTACTAATACCCAGATAGCTGTGTTACCCAACCAACATTTTCCTTCTTTTGCTTCAATTTCCTCCTTATAAACTTGAATAATAATAATTGTATATACTTCATAGGGCAAGAAATAATGTTTGTAAAACACTTAGCATGGTGTTTCGCACATGGTAAATACCAATAAATGCTTAATGTTGCTTTTGTTTCTAGCATGTGAGCTGCAATTTGAATAATGACATTCAGAAAATTTTATTTTTTACTATGCTATATTGCATCTTTTAGAATGTAAGTGAACTGGTTATGCATGTATATTTCCAATGTGTGTATTTCCAAAATGGTTTTAATCTGCATTAAGTTTGTCTTTATTCAGAAGATTTGCCAAGTATTGAGAGATTCTACATTACTTGTGACATTTCTTTCTGTTGTTTTTTAGGGGGAGGGGTGGATTTAATCTTCATTGTATTATTTTTTCCATTACCATTTAGTCCCTTACACCCCCTCCCACCAGCATTCACCACACTGTTGTCTATGTTCCTGAGTCCTTTCTCCTTTTGGCTCAGTCCTGTTTCCCCCCCTCCCTCACCGCCCCACGACTACCTGTCATCTGCTCTCCATCTCTGAGTCTTTTTTACCTGAACTCACATTTTACCTTTTGTGCTTCTATATTTTTACTTATGTGTATATATTGTGTTACTTTTATATTTTTCTGTTTGTAGAAGAATACAGAAAGTGGTTTGTAAAATAGCCATGGCATTTAGAACTGCGTTAGATCCTTTATACATTTATATATGTTTTGTGTTTTCTTTTATAACGTTGCCACCAGTGACAGAGCTTCTCTCGGTATTTTCATTTTTGTCAGTGTACCTTCAGTAGGTATACAGTCACGTGTAGTGCAATAAACTTCTTCTTCTGTAGTCTGTGTGTAGTTAGTGTTTTGACGCAGAAAATGTGATTTAAAAAATTGCCTCTGACTGCATGGGGTATTGCTAACTATTGTGCCTATAGTGCAGAAATTCGATTTTTCCGTCAGACCCACATTACAGTAAATCCTTGGCATTTCCTGCATTTGCCTGTCTCTGGTATCTTCGTGTTTACAGAAATTATTATAAGATCTTAAATAACTTTGTTTTATATTACGATAACAGATTATCATTCTTATTCAGAATGATAGCGCTTTGAATATACAAGCCATTGAGCAGAAAGTATTTTCCATATTCCCAGGATATATAGCTTCTTTCAAACCAAAATACTAAGTGGACTGCACATTTCCAAAACAAGTCTGTTTTGGGGTCAGGGTCTTATACTTAATAGGAACTTGTTTTTGCTGTGTTAGCTTTTACCTTGGAGAGTATAATTGCTAACATTAACTTTCTCCCTAGAGGATTGCTTTTTTCAGAGCTCTGAATCAGATCCCTGGTACCTAAACATTTTGTTCTGGAGAAGTCAAAAATGGTTCTGCTTTCTTTGCCTTTTTAAATATTGCCCTAAATGCATTTTTTTTCTTGGTATCTCTACCTACAGTTCTTTCTAATATAGAATTCCGGTTTTGCTTCTGGTTCTACACAGGGCAAAGCCACATACGGCTTTTCCAGCTTCTTTCCTTCAGCTTGGTGGAATTGCTTCAACCCAAGTAGGGACAGAAGAAAATTTATCGGTGTTTAAAGTGCGTGTGTGAGCATACGCACATGTGTCATAGTGCATAAGAGTGTGTGTCTTAGTGTGTAAGGGTAAGGAATAGGCTTCAGAGTCAGATTTACTTTTAGATTTCAAGGCCAACCCTTCTTAACTATATGACCTTTAGATGTATTGTTTTACTTTCTTGCTATCAGCTTTATTATCTATAAAGAGGATAATGATACTTATCTCATAGAATTGTTCTGATTTTTTACTTAAAAGAATTTCTATCACATAGAAGGTGATCAGTAATGATAGCCCTTCCAAGGGATTAGGATTTAGACACTAAAGAAAAGCATATTTATTTAGAAACAGTAGGCAAAACCTATCCTATCCAAGTACTATGTGCTATTTATTATCCTTCAAAAACAGCACTTTGAAAAAGCTGTAAATGGGTTGTGCAAATGGTGGTATTATTTTACTTGGATTCTGGTGTGTCGAAATGTACTCATGAACTTTGCTATGTTGATGTTAGTTGAGTTAGTTGCCAAATGGATTTTAGTGGTTTTATATTCATCTTACTCAAAGCTAAAGGACCTGAAATGGTTCTCTAGCCACTACTTCAAATAGAAAGCATCTCAGGCTTACACAGAGAACACAGCAGATATTTGGTTAGCTTTTATGAGAACTGCTTGCTATTACATTCTTTCCCTGGGCTTTTGTACACTTTTTTTTCAGTACTTGAAGTAATTTTAAATGTTATTCAGAATTTCAGAGTAAAGGGTCATAGAGTCCAAATGTTATATAATTGATACTTACAATATTTACATATGTGTAGTTATGTGAAAAGTCTTAAAATGTAGTCCTGCAACCAGTTTGATTTTTTTCATGGAGTTGCTTTAGGTACATGTACTAGTTAATTCTACGTTTCGTGTAGTTCTTTCACATGTCCACTTCCTCTAGATAAACTGATTTAAGACATCAGGAATGTTGGAATTAATGTCATATTTCTTTCTTTTCTCAAAGTGGAATGGAATACTACTACAATCAGGAAGTCTTCTGTACCTCTATCGGTTATTTTTCACTGCTTTTTCTTTCGTTATAGACAGAAAAATCTAAGGATGGTATTCATGCATTTGTATATACTCTCAATTGATATGGTAGCATTATAAACAGAAACAGGGATAATATCATGGTTGTACATGTACTTTTAGATAATTATATGTTATCAATTGCTGGGTGTATTGCAGAAATGCCTTCCGTGCCAGACCACTATGAAATCTCTTAGTGTTTTCTTTCCTCATATTCCTATAAAGGTCTAGACATGTCCAACTTTTCTATCGAAATAAGCAAAACAAAAAGTGAGCAAATGATGAATGAAGATTTGAGACTGTTGAATTCATGCTTAGTGTTTTATGGAGAATAACTTTTTGTTTACTGTTGTGTGCTATGTGGAATGACTGTGACTCTTTTTTGGACTAAGGAGCTAAAATAGTTTCTGTCACAGTTTTGTGTACTAGTACAAGGCCTGTGTCTTTTCTAAACAAGGAAAATATTTTAATTTAAAATACCAGACATAAGCCAGATAGATCTACTTACTTTCCTCTTGGTACATCCGTATCCTAAGGAGAAAATTGTCTAAAAAATTGTTTCCATGTCTAGATTGTAAGTAAAAGCACTTGTCATAGTGAGTTGCAAAATGCAGACCTTCATTCTGAAGCTGCCTGCTTCTCATTTAGATCTGACATATTAAAAAGCACATAATTAATGGTTGACATTAGTAATTAACATTAACTTTATGGTGCTTAATATGCCATCCTTCATCCATCAAATAACCAGGAATGCATAATGTCTTAGTATAAGGGCTTTAATTATATAAAATGGCCCTTCAGTTTTCATATGGTATAAATGTTAAAAGCCAAAAAAATGTATTTAAAGAAGATTTTTGTTAGCATTTGTTGTGTATTAGCTATGTTTTTATTTCTTTTTAGGAATATGCATCAACAATTGTGTCAGGAACTTCAAAAGGAAAATGTGGACCTGGTTATTCAGTCTTCATTATTGGCTAAAGAGCGCCACCTTGCTGCAGTTGCCAGTGCACTTTGGAGACACTTCTTTTCATTTTTGAAGAGTCAGAGAATGTCACCGATGGTGCCATTCTCACAACTTGCGGATGCCGCTGCAGGTCGGCTTTGCAATTTGCTAATTAGTTTCTCATTTTTCAAGCTCTGTCAGTTTTTTTTCTGTTGGTTTGGTAACAAACTCTTATTTTATAACAGTATAATAAATATTTTGACAACTAGAAAGGTGAACAGAATTATGTATTTTTAAATTAGGATCCTTTGGCTTGTCTATTATTTTTGTCTTAATAGAGATAAAAGTTAAATGATTGCTAAAAATAAAAGATAATTTTTAATCTTAAAATATTGAATATACATAAACGTTTCATATGCATGCAATATTTGAATAGTAAAGGACCATTTGATTTCTTCTAGTCCAACTTGTTTATTTTCAGATTATATCTTGGTATCAGATGAAGTAACTTGTATAAAGATCAAAAGAATATAGCAGGAATTTCACTTCAACACCAAGCAGGTGAAATCAGAGTGACATCAAATATATAGAATGTTATTGTTCTGAATTCTACTAAGTTCTATTTAGGTTGTGATTTTTACTTAGCTTGATTATTAATTAGCCTAACAACATGCCCTTAGGCATTAAGGGACTCTGAATCACATGACATTGCAAGCAAGTATTTGAATATATGTGCGCACATGCAGTTTTCTGAAAAGAGGTTCTTATCTTTCTCAAGGGATATCTTGCCCAAAATATGTTAACGAGTACTATAATAGACAGAGATAAACATGGTGACTGCATGTCTTTAAGTGCAATTTATATGAAGGTATTTAATGCATTTAATTGTAATGCTTTAAAAATTCTAAGACCTAAACCAAGGTGTATTTTACCCTGTGTGAACAAGGAAAGCTAAGCTAAATGCAGCACGTAAATCGAACGATAGATACAAAGATCCTGAGTTCCAGTGGCACTGCCACAGTTACAACATGAACAGGGATAGGTAGAAAAATTGTGACAGGGCAACTGTTTTCCAACTACTGTAATGTCTATGGAAACAAATAGTGATATTCAGGTGGTATGATCAAAGCAGTCATTAGTGGTGGATGTGACTTATCTTTCTTTCATTCATCATCCCAGTGAACAAAAGCGCTCTCACGTAGTTAGTCCCAGGTGCTGTCCTAGGTACTGAAAGTAAGTGGTATGCAAAGAGAAACCAAAATAATGTGCGGGTTTGGAGTATGTTTTAGTATTAAGATAGGTTAGGAGAGAAAATTTTCCTGCATTGAAGAAATAGTCAATGAATGCCCAGTTTTATGGCCAGGAAATAAAAAGGACTGTAACTTTTTTTCTTGTGTATAAGCTACACGTTCTCATAGAACTTATAGTCTAGTAGGGGACAGAGAACAATAAATACATAAGTAATGTATAAACTGTTATATGGTAATATGTGGTGTGGAGAAACATAAAACTATAGAAGAGGGGAGGGTTAGGGAAGGCCAGAGGCAGGTTGGAATTTTAGGAGTAGTCAGGAAGGCCTGTGTCAGTACCACTTGAGTGAACCTAGTAGAGGATAGAGACCCAGGCTGTGCAGAAGTCCTGACACAGGAGCATGCCAGCTGTGACTAAGGCACTGCAGGGAAGCCATAAAAGCTTGTAGCATGTGGAAGGGAGACAGTAGTCAGAGATGTGATTGGGAGGTGACGGAAGCTAGTTTGTGTTCTGCCTTGTGCACAGTTGTAAAGTCTCTCACTTTTACTCTGAGATTGGAAGCTGTTGGAAAGTTATGAGCAGATGAGGGATAGGATCCCTCTGGCTGCTTGGCTGAGAGTAGACTATAGGAAGGGGAGCAGCAGGGAGGCAAGGTTGGGAGCGATTACAGCACTACAGAAGGGAGCAGCTCGGGCTGGGGTGGTAGCAGTGGAGGTGGTGGGGAATGGTTGGATTTCTAGTCCAAAGGTAGAGCTGACTTTTCCAAGTGGATGTGAAACGGTAAGCAAACTAGGTAAAAAGAGAACTTCCTGTTTGTTGAGATGACGAAGGTTATGGCAGGAGCAGATTTTGTGAAGGAAGACTAGGACTTTGATATTGGACACTACTGAAAACCATTAATGTATATAAATAGTCTTTAAAACTGTGAACTGGATGAGATCACCAATGGAGAAAAAAATTGGTGAAAAGAGAAGACTGAGGACAAGGCCATAGGTTAGGCCATGTTCAAATTTGTAAGGTAAAGAGTAACCAAGAAAGGAGACTACAGAGGCATGCTGGTGAGGTAAGAGAACACCAGGGAGGTGTGGGGCCCTGCAAATCACATGACAGCATTTCAAGGAGGAGGAAGTGAGTAGCGGCCTGGACGTTGTTGAGTCAGTTAAGGTGAGGCCTGAGAATCCGCCATTGGATCTAACAAGAGGGATATTACCAGTGATCTTGAAGAGCAGTTTTGGTGTACTGGTAGAGGCAAAGGCCGGATTGAAGAACATTCAAGAGAAAACATGAGAAGAGGGATTGCAGACTGCATATGTAGATAAATCTTTTTGAATAGCACTGTTTATGAGTAGAAAAATGGGGATAATTGTTCAAGTGGGGAGTAGAGTCAATGAGATTTTTTAATAACTTGGGAGAAATTTCAGCATAATTATAATTCTGACAGGGATGTTCTGGAGTGAGGGAAAATTGATGAAGCAAGAGCATGACGTGTTTTTCAGTGCCCAGGAGAAATGGGATCCCATAGAGGCCTTGACCTCAGATCATCAGTAATAACGGGAGAGAAGGCAGAGTAAATGGGCCCCGGTGGAGGCAGCTGGGTAGATGGGGTAGGAGCTTGCGGCAGTTCTTTTCTAAAGCTGCTGAGTTTTCTGTGAAGTAGTAACTAAGGATATTTGCAGGATGTGAGGATGGGGAGGAGGTGCTGGCTGATGACAGAAAGAGGAGAGACGGTTTGCAATTGTCCTCTAGGAGAAAAAACCCCGAAATGTAGGAATGTAGGAATGCAAGCCAGCTCTAAGGGCCACTTGAAGTTTGTAGTCATAAATTTAAAGTGAGATTAGTCAGCATGGTTGCTCACCAGCCGTTTGTACTGGTGTGGATACATTTAGGGAGAAAAGCAGGCGTTGGAATTAAACAGATGGTGTTTTTTCCCAGACAAGTACAACGAGTCAAGTGGAAAGCAAGGGAATTGGTGTTACACACAAACGAGTGTAATGGAGGGCCGTGCAGTCAAGCAGCCTACAAAGGGAAGGGAAAGCACAAAGGCAGTGAGGGGCAGGAAGAAGTTTGTAGGGAAATTGTAGGTCCTGGTGGAATCAAAGAATTGTTGGAGTTGGGGACCTGTAAGAGGAGAGTTGGAAAGCTAGTTTGGTGCCAGAAAGTGGGGTCCTCAAAGGTGACATTACAAAGGGAGCATACTTACTATTAATGCCAAGGTTTCGGCATCACTGTAGGTGTGAGGAGTTGAAGTAGAATGGAAGATAGATTGATTAGAGGACAGGGTTTCAAGAAACTCCAAGGCCAGGGTGCTGGGAGAAAACTCACCAAGGATTGTGATGAGTGCTGGTAGAGTATGTGAGTGAGCTGCAGTCTTTGGGGAAGGTGCGGGGACAAACTAGGAAGCAGTAGGTGAATGGAACAGGGAAGGTTAGCGGACTGTGCAATCTGATGACATGAGGACCAAAGCCAGAGGTTTTTGGAAGGAGGAAGGGAGAATGGTGTAGAGGCAGCAATGTGAACCAAGGAGTAAACTCACCCTGTGTGTAGGAAAAGTCGTATGAGAGATGTGGGAGAATAAACAGCCATCCTTTGAGAGAGCCGCATGGAGGCAGTGCTTAATAAGGAATGTATTGACAAACATACATTAATATAGTACAAATTAAGTTGGGGAGTTCCCAGGAATCACAAAACAAAGCATATTTTTTTAACATGGTTAACTGAGAGATTCTCATTCCTAGGCTTAGTGGGTTCCGAAGGAGGTGGAGTGTCTTAGAGACCATGGTTTAATAGAAGAGAGTGTACATACAGCATCTAAAATAAGGGTGAACTCTTCCTCTGTGGCAGGTGGCAAGTAAATTAGCCTGATTGGAGGAGAGTAGATGCCGGAAGTAGTTTTTAAAATGGGCTTGGGAGGAAGTTGCATTAGAAACATCAGGTTTAGAATTTGCAGCTTGAGGGAGCTGTTAAAGATGGGTATCAGTGCTGCTGAGGGAAATCGTCCTGGGCCTGGCCTTGGAGATCTCTGTGGTTGCCACAGAAATTGCTTTGACAATATGAATTTAGTTCAGCTTTAGCTTTTCTGTGTTTCTGAATGTGACATTTTATTATGTAGGGCTCATTTTTTAATCACTATTGATAGAATTTTGGAAGGAGAAAGTTTTTAACCCTAAATTTCCACCATTGAAAACTTATGTGATTATATCAATAGCTATTGATGTAATTTTGGGAGGGGAAAAAGTTTTTAGCAGTTTTTCATCACAGGTTTTGTTTTTCCCCTTTTAAATGTAGATTTTACTTTGCTAGCAGTGGACATGCCCAGCACAGCCCCGTCAGAGCTTCAACGTCGGCCGCTGGAAACCATGGTACAGCTTTTTGGGTGGGATGACATCACCTGTCCCCAAGTTGTAGCGAGATATTTAAGTCATCTTCTCCAAAATGGGTAAGTGATGTTACTTCAGGTGTGCACATTAATGTGGACCATGATAGATCAGTAAACTAGGAAAGGAGAGTTTTTTTTACAACTAAAAACTGATCTTGACTACCTATACTCTGATTCTGGCAGTTTCCAGCTTTTAGATTTATCAGCATTTTGACAGCAGTAGTAGGAAAACCAACTTATGTTTCCTGGCCTGCTATTTTTAAAAAATGTTTCTGCTTAAGCCCCTTTTTAAAACTATTCTTGTAGAACTGCCTTATTCCCATCCTGAAATGGCTTTTCTATACTCACCATTGTGAAAGAAATTCTACATTCATAGTGCTGAGTGTATAATACACTGGTATGTTATTAAAGTTTTGGATTTAATGATAGCTTTCCTTTTGGCACCTAGATTTTCAAATATTTGACCCTCAACTTGGGCGATCATTAACCGGACACTTACCACCCCGAACACTGGTTTCCTTATCTCTGAGCACCGCCTGCCACACATTGTGTGAGAGATTTAAGGAACCACAGTGGGGGGAGTGGGGAATGTACAGTAAATAAAGTTAAAATAGAAATAGTATTATCAGGAAGGTTTAAATAAGAATATTAAGATGAGTAAGAAGAATAAATATACCCCCTTAAGAGGCCAGTGTAGTCAGTGCTGAGGTGTTCCCATGAGGAAGTTAGACAGAGTCATGAGGCCCTTTCGTACTGGCTTTCAGTGGTAAAGCAAGAAAGTTCAACTTCAGTTGGATTACTTTTAGGGCCCTTGTATCTAGAGAATTCTGTGATAACAACAGAATTCTCTTATTTATTTATTTAAATAAATAAAACATTTATTTATTAAATACTTTTGCAGAAATTATTTTAATTTTGAAATAAAATTGGTATATTGGTAACAGTTGAAAAAGCTAGAAGACAAAGGTAGATGTTAAATAGTTTTGGGAAAGTTAAATAGATAGATAATAAATGACCAACCTGAGTTCTTCTGTACTGTACTGCATGTTCTTTTTCTGACAACTTGTATTCAAAGTGTTTTAAAGCAGTGTTTCTAGAATTATGATTTACATGTATTTTTAAAATTTCTGACTTTACATAACACTTTATAGTTAGCTTAAGCCTGTCCTCATTCTTTCTGTGCCCACTAATAAAATAATTAGAAATCAAATTAGCCAGGCCTCGGGCTTTGTAGAAATATATATGTTTTTAAAAATCTCTGTCAGATCTTATTTTGGAATTCTGTGGTAGTGGCTGCCTGTGTGGTAGGGAGGCAGGAAGGAAGGGACCGGATTAATCAGTAGATTCACCCAGAAACACATCTTGTCTTTAACTTTTTTCCTACTTGTGTGGTCATGACTGCTTCTCCGTTTATTTACTCTAAAGGCTGCGGTTTTTAGTGTACTTTGCATTCCTTCATTGTTATCGCGCCTAGCTCCCGTGCTCTTTTAACCGTGCTCTTCCTCATATCTTCCCCTTGGCATAAACCCGACACATATGCTATCAGCAAAAAAAAGAAAATTAAAAGTTAGAACGCTGCAAATGAAGTAAGAGTACAGGGTGGGGCAACAGTAGGTTTAGAGTTGGGAGTATGCGAAACAGAGTTTGTTGTTATTCAGTTAATTATGGTGTTATTTTCCATACAAACAGATATAAACCTACTTTTGCTCCATCCAGTATTTAGCTAAAATATCCTTATTGTGTGTCTCTGTAGTGTTCATTTTCAGCATTGCATGTCTGCATTAGTCGTGTTTGTCTATAAAATAAGGGAGACCACAAAGTGGGGAATGTTGGAATGTTTATTTCTAAATATCTATACTCAGGGACCTTGTTGGATTTTATTTTTGTTTTTAATATCTATCGACTTGTTTTTACAGCACGTTGTGTGAAGCACTTTCTTATTCAGACTGTGTATCTTTTCAAGCCTTAACTATACGATCGTGGATTCGTTGCATTTTGCAAATGTATATAAAAAACCTCAGTTTACCTGATGATTTATTAATTGAAATAAATCCTGAACAGGCAGTTGGTAAGTATCACAGGAGTTTTACTTTTTTAATAGCTAAATCTGTTTAAAATTTTCCTTTTTGTTACATAAATTAAGAAAAAAAGTTAAAAAATATATTTGTAATTAGCTATAAATATAAACAGAAATTCATTTCCTTTTGTAGTCTATTTCTTTTTCTTGATGTTTTCCTGTTTCTAAAATAATAGATTCCTCCCATTTAAAGATAAAAGAACTTGTTTCCTTCAAAGCCAGAAAAAAAACTTGCTCTCAAATGACAACCATCTTTTTACCTTGAAGAAACTGATCACGAAAAAGTGGAAATATGAAGTAAATAACCAAATATCACACTGTGAAAACCTGAAAAGAAAAATACCCAATTATGAATAATTCTCTCCGATTTTATTAGATATTTTGCCTTTCTTTTGCTTTACTATTTATCACCTAGTGATACGTGTACGTTTTTAATATCCTCACACAGATCTGGTTGCCTGTAGGGCACATCTTTTCTGCAAGCAGCTCTTTGTGGCCATTTACAAACTGCGCACCGGCCGTCTGAGAAAATTCTCTAGATTTACTTTGATATGTTAGTACATCAGTTAGCTTTACAGGAGTAACCGGGAATAACGTTTGGGGCATGATGTTCTAACAACTACATGCTTGTTTTTAAATAAACTCTTTCCTTAGTGAGAGAACCTTAATTAATTCAAAGTTTGTATGTGGAAATTTGAATTGTAAAGAAAAGCATGTCATAAATGAAGAATGCTACATTTCCTACTCTCTCATTCATATATATATATATATATATCATATATTTATATATATATATAAAATACAAGTTTATATAATAAACATTACACAAATATTGTTATTTTATTTTAACAGAAAAAGAGTACATGGAACAGTTGGCCGAACTGACGAGGTTGCTGTTTAAACTCTCAGAAATAAAGAATATCTTCTTAAAGGCTCAAGTTCAATATTTACCCATCCCAGAAGACCCTAAAAAAGCACTTGTTCAATTTCTTGAGGTATTTTTCATTTTTTACTATAATTGTACAAATCCATCATAATCATATTTAAAAACTTGAAATGTTCCTGATGTTTTTCTATGAAAGGAGTTCTTTTAAATTGAATCATATTATCAAGTGCCTGCTACTATGAAATTCTGAAGGAATAAGAAAGTGAATCTAAGGTGTGGCACAATTCACTCCTAAAGACAGAATTACTTTTAATGAAAAGTAAGAGTAAAAAATGCTACATAAAAGCCTTACATTAAAGGCGACTTAAAGGTAGGAATATCTTATTGAAATAGCCAGATAACAATATTTTTCAGGTACTTGGGAACTAAATTTTCTTGGGTATGGTGCATAATACTTCCAACTTCATGTTGACTATCCTATAGTAAACAAATATAAGTTTTACAGTAAAAATTTAATCTCTTCGCCATAAACATCCACTACTTCATATGATAGTGTGATTGGAACTTTAAAATGCAATCCATTTGTTTTGTCCCCATGATAAATAGTTCTGTCACAGGGGAAACTCAGTTCTCCTTGCCAACACAGTAAAGAATTACAGGTCAGAGAGTCTATTAGCGTGCAAGCAACGTTTATTAATGCTAAGTTCTAATAGGAAAGCAAAAGCAAGAGTGGCCAGAGACTGTCTGGCTAAGGGTCCCCTGTGTGGCAAGAGAGCCAAGAGGGCGAAGAAGCAAGAGAGCAAGTCCTTTGTTCTGAGGACAAATATAGTTGGTGGAGGGGGGCGTGAAGAAGCTACACATTGATTGATAGGTAAAGGTGGTGCCAGCTCTCCTGGAGAGATGTGACTTCCCAAACAAAGGTTTGCACAGGGGTCTGTCAGCCCCAATCCTTATCATGCTCCAGACTCTTATTTCTTCATTTTGCATACATGACCCGGGGCAGGCAATTAACCAAAGTTGTTTTTGGGGGGGTTTCTTTGAGCACTGTAGACCCCTCCCCTTCTCCCCTCCAGGCCTTGGGATGAATATATAGTCTCAAGTTTTTCCTTTTCCCAGCTAGTGGAGGTGATACAGACTTTCACAGGCTCCCCCAAACCCTCACACTGCCCCACCCCGCACTATCATAGTTTACTTGTGTTTTCCGGCAGCTTTAATGGACCAGGCTCAGGATTGCTGGGTCAGCAGGTGAGCTTTAACTTTTAGCCTCCTGTATGAAGTTCTTTGTTAGATTGCAGTGGTCAGGGCCCTGCCTTTATTTCCTCTCTGGCCACTTATTCTACTGCGACAGTCCCATTCAACATTTTATTTTCAATTCTTGATATTGTAGGAACTTATTTTATGCAGTAGTTGTTGCTTTACAGCCTAGTTGAGGTCATTAACATGTTTGGATTTGTGTTTTCCAAAGCTATTCACAGTAAAAGTCAGTTTATTTTCCCACAGAGTGGTTGGTATTAACTGCAATGAAAATAATTACAACCTGTACACTCTTTTCATAAATATGAAATCTTCATTGGTTTCCATTCAGTTAAAGTACAGTCGTACAACAATTACAGATGTTATATAAGTCCTGAAAATATTTAGTAATAGTACATGCAGATATAAAGTACACAGTTTTTGAGTCTTTTATTTAGTTCTTGATTGGCTCTCAACCTGTAATTAATTGAACACATATGCTAGGAACTGCCCTGGACCAGAACGGGAGGTAGAAGCCATGGATTCCACCGATCATTTTGTTTTTGTTTTTGTTTTGTTTATCTTTTATTATTTTATTGTGTTCAAGTACAGTTGTCTTAATTTTCTCCTCCCCATTCCCCCTGCCCTCCCATCCCCACCTCCCACCCTCTATCCTACCCCCCTTTGAGGTTATCAGTAGGGAGACGGAAGGGGGGAATGAAGGGAAGGTACAGGGAATAAGAAGCATAAATGGTGGGTCCATGGGTCCTTTATACATGTTTCTTGACAATCCTTTTTCTCTCCCCCTTATCCTCCATCCCTGTTCCCCTCTGGTTACTGTCAGTTTGTTTGTTTCAGTGTCTGTGGTTATATTTTGCTTGCTTGCTTGCTTTGTTGATTAGGTTTCACTTACAGGTGAGATCATAGTATTTGTCTTTTACTGCCTGGCTTATTTCACTTAGCATAATGCTCTGAAAAGCTCTTTTAATTTAATCCAAACCATATTAATTATTCTTTCATCAGCCAGTAAGTAATAGTTGTGTGCTAAATGCTAGACAGTATTATGCTAGAATTTCTCAGGAATTTGAAAAACCAAAAGGAGTAGTCCCCAATCTTAAACGACTTTTACTTGTCTGAGAATACAGAATATACACAAATGTTAAAAATAATATAAGACAGTATATGCTAAGTGCCAGTTAGTTGATAGATAAATCAGTAGATTAAGAACTCAGAGAATCTTGGTATAAGAAGTTTGAATTTTATCCTGTGAACAGTGTGAAGACCTTATGAATTTTAAGTAAGTCTGATTTGATTAAGTGACTTTTCTGGAAAATTAACAACAATAGAACAGATTAAAGGAGCATCTGAAAACTCTTTGACTGTTACCATCTGTCCCTCCAGCTCTGTGAGCGACATCATCACGACCTTCAATTTCCTTTTCTCCAAGTGCAACATCCTCCCAGGGTCTCGCTTCATTCCCTGTCCGCCTGAATTATATACCCCTGGAGGCCTCACTTCATGTACCCTACCAGCACCCCCACAGTCTTCCTTCCTTGGTCCTTCGGTCACACCTGCAAGCCCTCAACCTTGTTTTGATGCCACCAGTTCCTTTGTGTTCTTTGTCTTATCTGCCGAGAACTGCAGTAGAAAAATCACGTAACATATATATTGGCACCATTGTGTCCAATATATACGTCATTGAAATCCACTATAAGTTCCCAATAATGGCTTGAAAACTTTAGTAGTCTTCTAAAACCTTCTAACCCAGTGTTCTCTTGATTCTTTTTGCGGCTTCTCACCTCTTGCTTGTTTTTACCCTTCAACTTACTCTTTCATTTATTTCCCTTTCGCTTCCCTCTTCACTGTTCTCCTTACTGCCTCATCTGCCTTTCACTCCACCTCCTCTTAGTTTTCTGTCTCTGTTCTTTGTGCCTCATCTTATTTTCTTCTGAGAAAGGTACACTGGCATCTAATGGCTCATAAAGAAAATTCTCGGGAGGGGAAATCACTTCATATCTCAAACCTTGAACTTTATAGAAGTCTTAATGTAGGAATTTGGGGATTTTGATTTCCCAATTTTATGCTAGGATGTTTGGAAGTCTTCATGTGGTTTGGTTATAAGATTATTTTACTTTTTCTTACTAATATTTTGTTGAGTTAGATCTTAAATGAATAATTATTGATGAATTGTTTTTATAATTCTTATTTTAACCTTTATTTTAATTATAAAAAAAGGCAATCCTTTTTCGTTGCATTTTAATTGCTGTAACTGTTTATTGGAAAGTTAAGGATGAAGGCATAAATGTAAAATATGTGTGTGTAGAAAGAGAAATGATCTTTATTTTCAAAGTCTGTATTGTATAAAACTTGGAAACCTAAATCATGTTTTTCCTTATTTATAGGCTGTTGGTAGAACTTACGAGAATCTGCAGGAACTTTCTGATAAATCTGCCATGGTTACAAAGTCCTTAGAATACCTTGGTGAAATATTAAAATATATAAAACCTTATTTGGGGAAAAATGTTTCCAGTGCAGGGCTGCAGCTGACGTACAGGATGATGGGTACGTATTCCTGACATTGCTAAACCTTTGTGAGGCTGAATCTGAAGTCTCATGGTGGGTGGGAATGTACTCACACAGTAGTCAAAGCCTGTTCTCCAGACAAGCATATGAATAATCTGAAAGACAGTGATTTAGCTTAACAATAATTCATGTTGGCTTTCAAGTGTATCTCTGTCTCGCCCCACCTCCCTTCAGAACCTTTCTTGTTGTGCTTGTGGTGATGGTAAAATTAATTATAATCCTTATAGAAAATATACCAGTGCTTGTGGTGATGGTAAAATTAATTATAATCCTTATAGAAAATATGCCAACATCAATTTGCTATCAATAGTCTATTGTGAATTGCTTACATTGTGAATTACTTGGATAGTTAAAATGGACATTCATTCTAATACTTATGTGTGTTTTGTTAGAATCTGAAATGTCAGAAAACCATCACTTCTTTATTTTTATAGTTTCCTCTATATGAAGGAGGTCAGGAAAGAATTTATTACAGCACTAAAGATACCTTGTTTCTTCACAACACTCTGTTTTCTTCTTCCAAAAAGAAACCTTTTTCTGTGCCTGTTCTGTAACAGCAGAGTTCATCTTTGGGAAGTCACTAATTTGAATACCTTTGTTCACTAAAATCGTGTTGCTAACCAAAAATAGGAACTGGATAAAGGGAAATGAGACCAGTTTCCTTAGAAGTTTTTATACAGAATTTAAGTTTCTTTAAAAAAATTTCTCTATGGCCCAAATCTTAAATCTCTTTCTTTTGATCTTATAAACATATGCGTAAACCTGACTTGGGCTGTCTCAGACCTTTTATCTTTGTTGTCTAAGACAAGGCAGAATTTGAAAATGTGTAGATGTGGAAGATTTAGAATGTAGTGAAAACTGTAGTGGCAATTCAGTCTTAATTTCAGAGAAAAATATCCGTGAAAATTTATCATAAATTTAACACAGAGAAATGTAGATAAATAAGTATTTCAGTATTTATGCTTAAAATTTATAAGTCTGCCAGGCTCAGTGTATGATTTCAGGGTATTTACAGAATATGTGATAGTCTTACCAGGAACTACAAAATCAATTTTGGATTGGTGATAGATATGTGGACCCACGGCAAAAATCTCCTTATGGAGAACCGAGGGCCTTGTTTGTTTGCTGCATGATTGTTTTTTCCATATTGGCAGGCAGACCCATATTCTTTCCTTTTGTCTGGATCTCAGAGGCTGGGGATACAGTGTACTGCTACGGTGTCACCCATTTAACTTATCAGACGTTGGGAACAGACACCTTTACCGTCTTCTGCACGTAAAGTGTTTAGAACAAAGTGAAGAAAGAGCAAGTGTAAACTTGAGAGTTCAAACCTGTTTGAAGCATGCAGGGTTGGAACATCATATCCCCTTGAAAGAAAGAGAGTTCCTTCCTGGGCACCCACTACTGTTCACTTGCGAAGTGCAAAATTCGATGAAATCACACTTCAGATTAAGGCATCTGAGAAAGCAGGATAGAGCTATCAGTGATTTCTTCCACTTTCCTCCTCTTTGTAGCTCTCTTTTTTGTTGTTGTTTTGCTCATTTATTATATTTTTTACTTTTCTGTTTCCATGTCTTTCTTTTTGATGGTCCTTCTCTAGCTGCGGTCATTCTTCCCCTTTGGACTTTGTAAGTGAATTCTAGCCCAGACCCTTCAGGGCCCTGCCCAAGTGCCCCACCTTTCCCGCACTCCCTGTGGACTTGATCTCCTTGCTTGTGTTTCATCTGTCCTTCTCTTTCGACATTTTCACAGCTTGCCATTCATTGTAATTGTATACTTAGCATGCCCTTACTAAATTTTAAACTTACTCATGGTGTCAGCCATATTTTTTGAACTTTTTATTCCCATCGTCATGTTGTATCTTGAACAAATAACAACATTTTCTCTCTCTCTCTCCTCTGCATGTGTGTGAGTATGTATGTGTCAGGCACTGGATTGGGAACTGGGGATGCATCCATTAAAGAGCTTCTCCAATGTAGGAGATGGCATATTTCTGGTACTCAGCAATTTTATGAACGTAGCTAGTAGTATATAATGTATTTTTTAATGTTCCTAAATGAGCAAAGTTATTTTATAACTATAAATACCTTGTAAAAATATATTTTATGGTGATCCCATTTCACTTTTTTAAAAGCATAATAGATGCATACAGTAGAAAATAAGGAAATGCATAAAAACTCTTACAGTGCAGCTCTCTTTCAGTTGTGGGAGTGTGTTCCCTCAAACCTTTGTATATTTTCAGCTTCATCAGTAAATAAGTAGTATTTTTATAGCCACAAAAATGACTTGTTCTTTTTTACAAAGCTATGCCATGTATTTATACTTTCCTCAAGTTCTTTTACTGCAGAAATTTTTCTCTCTACATTTTTAGTACCACACACACTGAAATGTACTTTTTTGAAACTTAAAAGAAGTAGGAGTCTGTTATATCAGTCAGACAGATGTATTACCTCTGTCTTCCATGAACTCATAAAACTTAAGATCTTAAGCAGAGCATTTTAACCGTGGCAGAAGATGAAATACAGGGGTCGATGATGCATTTTTGGTTGGAAGGTCCTTGCTCTGTGTAAGTTAATACCTGGGTGACACCTTAGAGTGATATGAATCATCTGAAATGTCGGCGATGATGGCAGTTCCTCTTGTGGGTATATTAATGTTCGTTAGAATATGAGTTCTTCGTACATTGCTGTCACTCTCAAGTTTTCTACCTACTGGAAAAATGAGGAGCAAGCCAGCATTATTTAAAATATTGCTAAGTGAGCATTGTGTTTCTTTATGATTGATTATTGTATTTCCTTTTACAACAGAAGATTAATGTTGCTGTTTGTTGTTCTTAGAAGTGATTATTGGTTGGGCTTTTTTTTTTAACGTCATTATACTCTGCTATAAGCATATTTTTGTATTCCTTCAGAACTTGAGTTTTAACCTTTTTGTTTTATGAAAATGACTGAATTTCATCACCTCTTTTGCTTTCTAAGATAAAATATAAACTTTATCCAGTACATTTACCACTCTGCTCTTTGGGCAAGCACTTAATCCCCTCCTTTTAAATTTGTTTTTTGTTTTTTATTTTTTCAGTAAAGGAGACCTCAGTGGCAGTAACAAACTCTACTGGGAATTATAAATCTGCTTTTAATGATTAAACAAAGTGCACTCATTTTGTTAAGCTTTACTACCTTCAAATGTCAGGATCGCCGGGCTCCCATCATGGAGTGAAGACATCTGTTTCTCTTCTTTTAGAATTAAAATTTAAACTCACTATTTGTTTATATTAAACAATCGAAAGTTATAAAAACTGAAGTTCAAGGAGGTTAAATGGTTGCTTCAAGGGTGTTACAGCTAATCCTTTTTCCCTTTTTCACAATTTAATTTAGTTTTTTATCTCTTGTTGCAAACTGGGTTGAGACAGCATATAAAATTGTATGTAAGATAAAAATTAAAAGAAATAACAGTATCAGAAAAATGTGGAGGAGCATGATGAAGCCCAGTGGGAAGTAAGTGTCCACATAAAAACATAGTGTATGATTTTACAGTGTTCTTAAAGTTGGATTGTGTTTGCTTCTGAGTTTTCTCGAAGCCAAAAGAGAGAGAGATCTTATTAATTGCAACACTCAACTTACATACACACATAATGTGGAACCAAATCACATAGTACGTGGGAATGTGTACGTTTTAGGTGTCAGCCACTCAGGAAATGTGTTTTTCTTGGCCCAGAACTCTGAAGAGAAACTTGTCTTTTTAGTGAAATACATCACTTGACAACGTTTTTTTTTTTTTGATTCATAATAAATGTTCCTTCCTAGTGCCTACTTTAACTTGTTCCTATATGCTTTAATTATACATTTTTTAATAGAATGACAAAATTTTTTCCTTAGAAGATAATCGTAACTACTGTGACTCTTTCTGTTAGGAATCCTTGTTAAATCCTGGGCACAGATTTTCGCCACCTCTAAAGCCCAGAAGTTGCTGTTCCGGATCATAGATTGCTTGCTGCTGCCCCACGCGGTGTTGCAGCGAGAGACAGAGCTGCCCGCACCCAGGCTGGCTGCAATTCAGAGGAACCTTCCTTTGTATCTCCAGGTATAGTAAGCATGGCTATTTAAAAGTTTAAAAAAATTTTTTGATATGTTGCCTTAAAACAGCTCACTAACTACAGATTTAAAAACCAGGCATTGCCATCTCAGTGCATGTGGTACATATGGCACTTCTTTTTAGCATGTTTTTACGTCCTTTTGTGTTTGGCTATGAAAACAAAGGTGGAAAAGACAAAATCCATACCCTCAGGAAGTTGGAAGCTGATAGAGGAGGCTGGCTAGCATAGACACTTAGAGGAATGCGCTCAGTAGATTTCTTAGGCCTCCTCTGTCTGTCACCCAGACCGGGCTGAGAAGATGGGAGAGAGGACACTGTACAGGATGCTAATTGTCAAAGAGCAGAGTGGGTAGGATTTGAAGTTCTGTTCCTGTCAGAGGAGATGGCAGGTGAAGGCCATGGTTTTTGTAAGAAATACGACCTGCTGGCGTGGGAAGCAATTCAGCTGTGGCCAGAGATTCGTACGGGAGGAGCCACGTCCTCAGGGGTTTCATGCCAGGCAGTTCGACTGGTTCTTTTACACGGGACTCCTGATGGATTTTAAGCGGGAGTGACACATACTTACATTTTAGAGGGGTGATTCTGGTGACAGTAGCCAACATAGTGGGTGTGGAGCTCAGATCGGAGACTGGGAAGGCAGTAACTCGTTCATTATCTGAAGGTTTTGAACTAAGGCAGTGGGGTGTAGAGCTCACAGTGAACTTCAGAAACATTTAGGAGCTCTGGGCAGAAAGACTTTCTGAGTGTTGCAGAGCAACAGAAAAAACAGAATACGTTTGAGATTCCAGGGGGGCTGCTTATGTAGATAGTAGTGCTACTAAGGAAAATTCTGGACATGAAGGGATGATGAGAAGAATTTCTAAACAGCTGTAGTTTGAGGTGCTGGGAATATCTGGCTAATGATGTTCATTAGGCACTTGGAAATATCGATCTGCCGTTTAATGGGAGAGAGGAGATGTACTTTTTTATTCATTAGTGTCTGATAATAAAGATAAGTGCTCCTTATTTAGGTTCCAGCGAGGGAAGCTGAGGAAGAAGGGGGTGTGGATTTCAATTAGGTAGTAAGCAGTCTCTTCCACAGATGGTTTTTTAAAACAGATTTTTACAATTTCTCATTCATTTGAAGTTGGTTTTTTAATTTCGTATTCACAGTAGCATTTAAAGCAAAGTTGAGTGTCCACTAGCAAGCTGAAAAAGCACTGCCGGCTCCCAGGGGGCTGGATGCAGGGGGGTTGGGGGCAGCGGGGCCTTGCAGTGCCTGCTCCATGAGCCCTCCTAAACCCCGTGTACATTTCAGAAGAAGTCGTATAAGCTTCCAGAGTTGTAAATTGACAAAGTTGGTGAATTACCCATTTGACAGAATTTATCTTTAATTTCTTAAAAGTACCCAGCTTTCCTCTTCACAATTTTCAAAATGTATCCATTTTACTTCATCTTCTGATTTGATGTGCTTTTTCTTAAACAAAGCACTAAAGAAAGGAGGCAATCCATTATATTTTTAATTGTTTGTTTAATTGCTAGTGTTTTAACAGCACCACACTAATTTTTATTACAAATAACCTTTCAAAATTACTTATTGGGTATGTATAGCTAAAATGGAGGCATAAACATTTCCCAGGGGGAGGAGGGAGAATGAGGGAAAGGTATGGAGAACAAGGAGCATAACTGGTAGGTACAGAATAGATGGGGGGGAGGGTAAGAATAGTATAGGAAATGGAGAAGCCAAGGAACTTATATGTGTGACTCATGGGCAGGAACTACAAGGGTTATTGCTAGAGGGAGGGAGGCGTAAAGGGGAGAAAAAAATGGGACAACTCTAGTAGCATAATCAATAAAATATACTTAAAAAAACAAACAGTTGAATATATATTTCCCATGCAAATCAATAAACAAATTTAAAATAAAACGCAAAATGTAGATATAAACATTTCTAATTCTTTCTCTGGGAAAACACATTGTGAAGCACAAAGCACCAGCTTATAAAGGAACTTTTAGATCATAATTTGATGTAGTGTTGCTGATTACATTTAGTAATAAGTAATATTGGTAGAAAAAAATTTGTTTCTTGTGGTTTGGGTTTAATTGTTTGTAACTGTCAAATACTGGATTCCATATGGAAGTATGTTGTTAATTTCTGTACAACGGCAGGGATTGAATCAACAGACGTGCAACATGACATTGTGAGTTCAGTGTGACCTTGATCAAGTTCCTAACTCTCCTAAACCTCAGCGTCCTCAGCTGTAAAATTGGAGCTATGGTAACACTAACTTAGTGGTTTTTTGATTAATTTAAATGAAATTATGTATATAAACTATGTGGCCAGTGCCTGACAAATGAATACCTTAAAATAAATTGTCATTATTCTGAGTCATAATCTGCATTTTTCTTCCTTTGTTAATAAAAAAAAAATTATCACCTTTCTTAATGTGGAATATTGTTAGCATAAGTTTTGTTTTAGAGAAATGATTAGTGCCCTACACTTAAAAAAACTGACCTAAAATATATTTTGTACTTTGGAATTCCACATACACATGTAGTTGATGAGTGTGGTGGTCAGTTTCTGAGGATGAGGAGGAAGCTTCCTCTGTCTTCCTGCACGTTCCCTGCTTCCTTCGGGTGTGCCCCAGACACAAGTCTGTTGAGGGGGATGCCACAACATAGGTGTTACCAAGCTCAACAACTCCCTGCACTTCATATAAACATTATCTGTTGATAGCAGGTGGTGTCCTTGTCGACTGTGATAAGTTACCAAGTCTGCCACGAATATAAATGTGGGGAACTAAATTAGTAAGTTTCTAAACATTTTGTTAACTTTACCTCTTAATATTGCATTTGCTTTTTTTTCCTTCCGTAGGGCATGTGTAGCGTGTGTTGTCAGTCTCAAAATGCAAACGCCTATCTGAATCAGTTGCTAGGGAGTGTCACTGCGCAGTATATCGGGCGGTTTCTTCCAGCATCACCGCACGTTCTGGATCTGGGACAGCATCCGGTTTTGTTGGCATTGAGAAACTCAGGCAGTGGTGCACCGATGTCACCTCTAAAGAAATGCATTGTACAAGTCATAAGGTACCTCTAAATATTAAAAATAAGTGGTATTGACAATATACTAATCTATTAAAAAGTGACGAAGCGTTTCAAAAGTATTGGTCTTCCTTAGAATACCAGTAGTGCAGAAAACTTTTTTCCTTAAAATCATTATCTAAAATGTTACTAAAATGATTTTTGCTCAAGGCACTATGACGATGTTTTTTTAAATTGCTTGTTTTCTCTGTACAGCAACTATTTTTCTTATATATGTTTTAAAGGTGTGTGTGTATATTTTTTTTAGTTTTTTATCAGATGAACAGTAACTGTTTTATACTGTACACAATACACTATTTTATGAAAGGTAAATGAAAATACTGCTAATATGAAAAAGGAAGTGCTAAGAAGTACTATTTTGTTGATCTATTCTCTGTCTAAATAACTCAGTTTTATTATTAGGCAGACAAATAAATGAAACTTTCTGAGGTTTTGTACTAAACCCAATGCTTTTTAGCTGCAACATTAGAATATTCAATAGAGAAATTATCATTTCTTTGCCTTCAAAGGGTATTTACTGTCATGCGAAATCAAATTTTAAACTTTTAAGATGCTATGGCACTATATATTCTTATCCAGTGGGGTTTTTTTTTTCTGTTTTTAATGACCTGATATTACCCGTCCACTCTTTACGGAACTAAGTGTCTAACCTCGTTCTTCTCCAGCCTTGTTCCCATGTTCCGGGTTTTCTGTTACTCAGGTTTGGGAGCTTTATGGCTTCGTTCCCTTTGCCATCCTCTGACAAGTGATTATTTCCTTCCCTTATTTTCACATCTCTCTTTCCTTATCGCATTATACCTAGGCTATTGCTCGATTTTCCTAACCACTTTCACTATCTCATCTTTTCTTCCAGTCCAGCCTTAGTAATTCTGCCAGATTGCTTTTCCTGAAATACTGTTCCATATGACACTCTCCTGTCCCCAGACCTCTTCCTCTTCCTCCTTTTTTATTTGGCCTATGGAATTAACTCTGTATACAAACATAATGAGACTGGTTTAATTGTTGCCCCTCCAGAATGCTTTATAGTTCCCTCCATTAAATAACCATCTGGACAAAAGTCCACCTAGATGTTCTAAGACCTACACCTAATATTTCCACGTACCATGACCCTTCTTTCCTTCTGAAGTCATATGCTCTGGATGATTCAATTCCAGAATTGTAATATTTTTGCCTTACTTGTATCTGAATTCCCACCGAGATGGTAGTATTCTACCTCTGTGTTTGAGACATCATTTAAGTAATTTTAGTACAAACCAATGTTGTGAAGGCCAATGTTGAAAATCCTGGCTGCTTTAGCTGACTTTCCTATTTGCCATTGAAAACATTTTTTCTCATGATTTGTAGCTGAAGGCTGCAAAATGCAAGAATTCCTTTTTCTTTTACTTACTTAAGAAAGAAACAGAGATTGCCCCCTCTGCCTTCCTCCATGACATGCTTCTCTACTCCTGCAGTGAGTAAGGCTTAGTTCAGGCTCCTTCCTCTGAATTTCTGAGAATTCAGGGCTTATCATTCAGAGGACCTGTCACATTGTATCGTGATGGTCTTTTCTTTTTTCTTGTCTAGCTTTTTTACTGAACACTGAACCCCTTGCTTTCAGAGACCATATTTTACTCAACTTTGCATTCTGGTTCTCAGACTTGTACCTAGTATACTATAGGTACCCAGTAAACATTTGTTGTAGGCATTAGGAATTCAGCAGTGCACAAAAAAGACAAAACCCTGTCCTCAAAGAATAAATGAATCTTGTAATATGTAATATTTGTTTGAGGTCACTGCTTGGAGTAGAAATGATGATGAAGACATAGTTCCTGCCTGTATGGAGTTTATAATTCTCAGTGGTTTCTGTGTCTCATCTTTGTAAATTATTATTGCTTTGCAAGTACATGTGGATGTCTAGTTTAGATTTAGCTGCATTTGACAGTTTTTCATATTGTCTAGACTTTTAGAAATCGAGTGATCACACTTTGCAGGGTTGTTGTACCTGGTTAGTAGTGGGATGGGAGACTGCATGGGAATACCGGGTGCTGTAGGCTTTTGCCTCCCTCCTTTTGCGGATGCCCCAGCCGGGCCATTGGGGAGTACTAACAGATGTCCACTGAACAACCGTTATGAGCCAAGAACTATTCTAAAAGGTAGAGATACAAAAACGAGTCAGGTGAATTATCTTTCTGATCGCAGTTGAGTTCTAATGCTAAATTTTGAGAGAAGATAGGAAATCCTAAATTACCTCTCTGATTCTTTTACTTCCAAAGGGAAGGAAAGAGGTAAAGCTCAGAGTGGGAAGCTAATTCCTAGGGTAGTTTTCTTACTGAATTGGAGGAAAAAACAGACCCCTCCCAAATCCCTACAAATAAATAAATGTGAGAAGAGACTTCTTTACACAGACTTGACATAGAGAATGTTGCATCACCAAGGAGCTGATAGAGGAGATTAGGCCTATATTAGAAAAAAATCAAATTAGCAATTACATTTTGAAATATGAATAAAACTAGCCAACTCTTACACACAAAAAATTACATCTTTATTTGGATTTTGATAAAGTTCCTTTTAAGACCAGGTTGCTTTAAATTTAGTTCGTGTCTCTATTCCACTTTAGCCCTTGCAACAGAACAAAAGGATACGCAGTCACTGCGTATCCTCTAAAATTCTGTGTTTGAAATAGCATGGTAAAATACACATGCTTTTTAGAAATTGTGCTTTATTAATTTGTGGGGAATAAAATTTCACAATGTCTATAATGTATATGTCATTTGCTTTTCTACTTAAAACTTTGAACAGAAAACGAAAATTGTGCTTCCTCTCAGGAAATCCTACTTTGAGTGTAAACAGTTCTTGCACCCTCCACGCTTGGCATCCATTCTGGCCTTCATCCTCCAACTCTGCAAAGAAACCAGCATAGATGTTTCCGAGGTTGGACTTCTGCTCCCTGGCATCTTAAAGTGCTTGGTGTTGGTCAGTGAACCACAAGGTGAGTGTGAGCTTGTGTTTGTTTGTTAGACTTTTCTGTTCACTATTTAATAAGTACTCTTTCCTATCAGTTAAATTAACAGTTAAAAAAGTATCATATCAGTTTGTATATAACCTGTATAAAGAACAAACTCCAAAATCCAGCCAATAACTTAGGTAGAGCATGATAAAATGGTTAAAAACTGATGTTTCAGTATAGTTTACTTTTTTTCTTTTTTAAGGTTTTATTTATTTATTTTCAGAGAAAGGGTAAGGGAGGGTGAAAGAGAGGGAGAGAAATGTCAGGCCAGTGCTCAATCCACTGAGCCATACCAGCTAGGGCTAGTTTATTTTTTTCTAAGACAAATAATTTACTTATAGGCTACTTCCTCTCATTAGACTTGTTAACCTCTTAAAGAACATTTGTTCAATCTGATTCCAGTATGTTCAATATTAAGTTGTGAGAAGTCAGCAGAATTCCTTCTATTCAGGTGTCTGCTGGAATATCTAAGCTGATTTCTTGGGTAAATGTGTAAGGATCCTTTGATCCTATTCCTTTGTTTTCAGGCTCCTCAGCCTCACTGCCAGTGATCTCTTTAAAGCATCATTTATTTAGTCCCCACTGTGAGTGGCCTGCTTTAATAAGCTTATTGGGAATATGCAGAATAGTAGCCACAGTTCTATCCTGGAGGAATTTTTTAAATGTAAATAGAATGCTCTTGTGTGTGTGTGTGTGTGTGTGTGCTTGTGTGTGTTTATCATTATAATGTGATTGTTCAGGGCAGGGCTTCTCCAGTGTTTCTACCTAAGTACTTCCAGCTGCTCTGATAAGGGAGTGTAGTGTGTATCCTCCAGGATCTGAGGGCAGAGCCCAGAGTGGTAGCTAAAAGCTCAAATACCTCTTTGAAATGTTCCGTTTTATCTAAAAAATTTTATGCATATTTTGTTTTAATCCTTACTTTAATAATTTAAAATGTTCTTTCTGCTCTCAAGCTTGGTTTTGTGGAATATGTTATGTTAATTTAAAATACCCTTACTTCATAGTAATATTCCTTAACTGAAGAATACCCAGATAGAACCCCAGACTTTTCTTGAGAAATTTTGCCCTCACTAAAAACTTAATGCAGACTTTTAAAAAAAATTCTCACCCAAGGATATGTTTATTGATTTGAAAGAGAGAGACATCTGTGTGAGAGAAACATTGATTGGTTGTCTACTATATGAGCCCTGACTGGGGATCAAACCTACAACCTATGTATGTGCCCTGTCCAGGAATTGAACCCATGACCTTTTGGTCTAGGGGATGACACTCCAACCAACTGAGCCACCAGCCAGAGCGGCACAGTATTAATGTCAGTGAAAGCTTGTTGTGTTATGTAATACAAAATTAACAAAATTCCTTGAGATAGAGTAGACAGTATAAAATTTTAGTTAGCCTCGTATTTTGATGATGATAATGTTTATTATGAAGAAAACCAGGGTTTGAAAGGTGAGCTTTTCCTCTTATAGCTAGAGTAAACCAAAATTAGTTTTAGGCCTGTAATAAGAAAAAAAGCATTTATTTTAAGTTAAAGGAGCTCAATCTGTGTTTGGGAGACAGATTCAGGGAGCAATCTGAATTGGGCTCTACCAAGACAAAGAGGAAGCCATCTTTTATAAGTTCCCACCCAAGATCCCAGTTTTATGCAAATGAGGTTTCCAAATTGTGCGTTTCTGATTGGACAGGACAGGGTTCTTTGGTAGAAAGATGAAACCAGGTGTTCTGAGGTGGTTGACTCAGGCATAAGTCAGCAGGGCACAGTACAGAAGGCCAAGATTTCAGTCTGAGGCTCTTCCTGGTATGCAGAGTATGAGGAGCCTGTCAGCAGACTGTTATTAGAAAATCCGGGCCTTTGCTTGCCCCTGGGGAGTTCATCTCTCAGCAGATCAATTCCTTCTTGAGGGTCACATCAAATACTCTTTCTTTCCGGGTCCGCACAAGCTACTGAATGCTTCAACACAGATGCAGTACAGAATTCTCCACATAGTGCTGTACTGTCTTTGTCACCCTGAAGGAGCAAAATTCAGCGTAGCTTTGCGTGCTTGGCTCAGAGAAAATTGTGGCTCTCCTTGTTGTCTCAGTGTTTAAAAGGACAGTTTGTCCAGTCACAAGAAGTGTTACTAAATGACTTGGCAAGCCCACTCCCAGTTATGTGCCCTGGAGTATTTTAAACACATGTTCACTCCAGAACCCGTACAGAGAGCTTGACGAGTTCCACTTCTTACACAGCCATGTAAGGAACTCTGCCAGCCTGCTCTCCAGCAAAACTGGTGAAAATTACTTCAAAGAAAGCATTCTCTGGAAATAGCCCTGAGAGTATATAGCACGTGGAGAAACATTATTAAAGACAATCTACTAAAACTTGGTAAGAGTCTCTGGTACTTGACCCAAAACCACTTCTTTTCTCCCAATACAGAAACTCTACTCCAGAGTTAATAAATCCAGGAATATAGGGCTCCCTTTCTCCCCAGCTTCCAGTAGGAGGGCTAGGATCCTGTGAGAGGCTGTATACCAACATCTCATCGTTCTTCCATGCTACCTGATGCTAAATTTTGTTTCAGGGCAGTATGGCTCAGTGGGGGTTTCGTGATACTGCTCAGCCCCACTCCGGGATGGAGGCAATGAGCCGAGTGCCACACCACAGACGATAGGGGGGTGCCAGTCATTCCTGCCACAGCTTGTGTGTGGGGGGTCCCATGCTGAGAGGAGCAAGCTGAGAGGACCGGGGGCAGCTGCCCCTCCTTCCCTGAGACAGCTCTTAGAGTGGTGTGTCACTCACAATGTAGTAGGCACCATTGTCCTTATCCCCAGCGCCAGGCCTTGCCTCTGAGATTAACTAATGCCTGGAACTCTGAATCTCTCCCCAAAGAACTACTTCCTTTGCAACACAGTATGAAAGTTCAGGTGTGGAGGGAATGTCAAAAACAGTGGAGTTTGTGATAAAAGGCAGTAGGTAAGAGAATAATAGATTCATTGGAACTATAAAATAATCTGTAGGCCAGCTAGTTTGGTGAGAAAACTGGTGAAAGACAGCCGGTTAGAGCCCTTGGGTCAGAACAAGTCTCAAGCATAATCAGCTAGCAATTAGTGGAGCATAGCAGCTGGAGTCAACATGGGAAGGGACAGTCAAAGAGAGCACTGTCAAAGCCACTGTCCTCCGGTGGAGACCTCGGGCGCACCCAAGGTTACTCGGCACCTGAGAAGTGATGTCAGAGGCTTCACCCTGGGGAGTGGGGAGAAGGGACAGGAAGTAGACTTCAGTAAATAATTTCCAGTTTTCAACAAAGAAAAAAATTAGAAGACATAAAAGAAAAAACAGTATCATCTATACACTGCAGGGCAAAAGCAGGCAACAGAAGCTGCCAGTGAGAACAATCAAATATTGGATTTAATAGACGAAGACTTCAAAATAGTAGAGGAACACAAAACAGGAGACATTTAGAAAACAGAATGTGAAATGACTGATCTAAATCCAACCATATCAGTAGTAACAGTAATCGTGAAAGGATTGAACAGTCAAAAGGCAAAGGTTGTCAAGAATGGATTTTTTTCCTAAAGATCTAACTATATACCTGTAGGAAACACTTTAGATTCAATATTGAAAGTAAAAGGTGGAAGAGGATATACATCATTGCAGACTAACCACAGAAAGCAGGCCTGGCTATACTAATATCAGACAAGATAACCATTAGGCCAAACAGTCTTATTAGAAATAGAGACTCCGTATAATGATGAAAGATTCAGTCCAACAGGAAAATTTAACAAGATGCCTGTGCAGCTAACCGCAGAGCACTGAAATGCAGGAAGCAAAAGCTGAGGGTGTGAGGGGAGAGCCAGTTCAGCAGTAATAGTCGGAGGGTGCTCTTGGTTTTCACTTCAACATGTAAAGAGCTAACAAGTCGCCATTCTCCCCTTATTGAATCATCTTGTCACCTTTGTCAAAAACAAGTAGAAAAACACCTCAAACCCATGGACACGTGGTTTATTTCTGGACTCTCAATTATATTCCACTGATCTGTGTTTATGCCCGCACCACACTGTCATGAGCACTGTTGGTTGTTCTAAGTTCTGAAATTGGAAAGTCGAGTCTTCCAACTTTCTTCTTTTTCAAGATTGTTTTGGCTATTCTGGGTCCTTTGCAATTACATATGAATCATAGAATCAGCTTGTGTGTTTCTACAAAGTCTGCTGGGGTTCCGGGGGGGGGAGCTGCACTTACTTTGTAGATGAGTGTGGGGAGCACCACCGCCTTAACAGCAACTCTTTTAATCCATGAAGATGGCATCTTTTTCTTTAGGTAGTCTCTAATTTCTTTCAACAATGGTAGTTTTCAGATTATAAATTTGTATTTCTCTTTTATTAAATTTATTTCTTGTTCTTTTTGAGGCTATTTTATTGGAATAATTTTCTTAATTTTATTTTTAGATTTTTCATTGAAAGCACATAAAAATACACGTTTGTATTTTGATTTTGTATCCTGCAACTTTGCTGGACTAGTTTATTAATTCCAATAGGTTTTTAGTGGAGTGCTTAGGATTTTCTATACACGAATCTATCATCTGCAGATAGGGGCGTTTTTTCTTTTTCCTTTTAAATCTAGATGCCTTTTATTTCTTTTTCTCACCCTGACTAGAACTTCTGGTACAACGTTGGTGGAAGTGGCAAGAGTGGACATCCTTGTCTTGTTCCTAATCTTAGTGGGAATGAATCTCACCTCTCACTGTTAAGGATGGGGTCAGCTGGAGGATCTTTGTAAATGTCCTTCATCAGATTGAAGCAATTCTCGTCTGTTCCCAGTTTGTTGTTATGTAACATCCCTCTTTATCTCTGATAATTCTACTTGTTCTGAAGCCTCCTTTGTCTGAAATAATATGTCTACTACAGTTCTGTTTTTAATTGTGTTAGCATTGCATATATTTCTCCTTCCCTTTAATCTATCTATGTCTTTATATTTAAAGTGACCACAGTTGCAGACAACATACAGTTGGGCCTTCTTTTTTTGTCTGTTGTCAGTCTGTCATTTAATTCAGACCATTCACATTTAAAGTGATTATTGATACAGTTGGGTTAATGCCTACCGTATATGTACTATTCATTGTTCTTATTCTTTTTAATATTCTGCTCCTTTTCCACCTTCTCTGATGGTTTTAATTGAGCACTTTAAATTATTGTATTTTCTCTTCTCTCTTAGCAAACCAAATATACTCCTTTAAAATTTTTTATTCTTAATGGTTTCCCTAGAATTTGTAGTATATTTATTTAAACTGATCCAAGTACTTTCAAATGGCACTGTTTTCCTTACTATGGTATTCCTGACCCCTTTCTCCTGTCCTTTATAACATTGCTGTCATTCATTTCACATATCCATAAGGTATGACCACCAAATACTTGTTGTGATTATTATTTTGAACCAAAGCTCTTAGGTCCATTAAAACTGAAGAAAGGAAAATAAAGAGAATCACAACTTACAAGGACCAAGAAACCTGCTGCTGGAGCTCATTCTGGTAGAAATGTTTTAACTGAATTAGACAAATTCTTCTATGTTCAGTGTTGGGGGCATCAGTTTGCCCTATGACCTCATTTCTCTGATGCATCTAGGAAGAGTTGTCCTTCTGTTTATTCAGATTATTTCTCCAAATTGTTCTGCAAATTCAGTGCCTCTCCTACCAGAATCCCATCAGACTTCTTTGTAGAAACTAATGAGCTGAATCTATAAAATAAGTAATTGTGGAGGACCCAGAATAGGCAAAACAATTGTGAAAAAAAGAAAGTTGGAAGACTTGCACTTTGCAATTTCAAGAGTTAGTACAAATCAACAGTAATCTTGACAGTGTGGTACTGGCATAAAGATAGATCAGTGGAGTAGAATTGAGAGTCCCAGAATAAGCCCACGTGTCTGGTTTTGGTTTGGTTTGGTTTGGGTTTGGACTGAGGTGTCAAGATGACTTAATAAGGGGAAAATAGACATTTCAACAAATTGTGCTAGGTCAGGTAATTAGCGACAGGCTAAAGAATGAAGTTGGACTTTTATTCCATATGGGAAAAATGACTCAAAATGGGTCATAGACCTAAATGTCAGAGCTAAACCCATAAAACTCTTAGAGGAAAGCATTGGGGTAAGTCTCCATGATCTTGAATTTGGTGATGAATTTTTCAATGTGACACTAAAAGCATGAGCCACAAAAAAGGTAAATTGGACTTAAAGTGAAAAACTTTTGTACTTCAAAGGACACTATTGAGAAAGTGAAGAGACAGCCAACAGAATGGGAGACAATATTTGCAAGTCACTTATGTAAGGAACTTATTTTTACAATATGTAAAGAACTGTTACAAGTCAATAATAAAAAGAGAAATAAGTAAAAATAGGCAAAGGATTTGAATAGACATTTCTCCAAAGAACATAAACAAATGGCTAATAAGCACCTGGAAAGGTGTTCGGCATCATTATTCATCAGGGAAATGCTAATCAAAAACACAATGCGATACCATTTATATTCACTAGGTTGAATATAATGAAAAAGTCAGAGATAAAAACAAGGTTTGAAAGTAGAGAAATTAGAACCTTTATTTATTTCTGTTGGGAATATAAAACGATGGAGCCACTTGGGAAAACAGTCTGGTAGTTTGTCAAATGGTTAAACATAGAACTATCATGTGACTTAGTAATGCCACTTTTAGGTGTACACCCATGATTAATAAAAATATATGTCCACGCAGAAAGTTGTACATTAACGCCTGCAGTGTTGTTTATTATAACCACAAGGTAGGTTGCCCGCCACCTGACGGGTAGATTTTTAAAATGTAATATGTTCACCAGTGGATTATTTGGCTGTAAAAAGGAGTGAAGCACTGGTACATGCCACAACATGAATGAACCTTGAAAACGTTATTCTAAGTGAAAGAAGCCGGTTAGAAAAGACCACATGTTATATGGTTTCACTTACATGAAATACCCACAATAGTTAAGTCTGTAGAGACAGATAATGGATTACTGGTTGCTTAGAGGGTATCAGAGGGTAGGGGAATGATAGCTAAAGGGCTCGGGGTACGGGGTGGGGGGTTCCAAGGTAAAGACAATATTCTGAAATCGACTGTGAGAATAATTGCCTAACTGTGAATTTATAAAAAATCATTGGATTGCACATGTTAAATGGGTGGATTGTATGGTGTGAGAAATATATGGCAATAAAGCTGTTGAAAAAGTCTAAAAAATTGACTAATGTTTTAAAAACTCCAATTAAAAAATAAAGATGGCAATATTTTTCAATAAAACCCTATGCACTCATATTCATAGCAGCATTACTCATCATAGCTAAAATGGAAACAACCCAATTGTCCATCAGCTAATGAATGGGTATACAATATGGGGTGGGTCCATACTATGGACTATCATTTGGCTGTCGAAGAAAGGAAGGAGGGAGTACGCACTGATACATTTTACAGTGTGAATGAGTATGCATTCACAGTATGCAAAGTAAAAAAGGAGTCACAGAAGACCACATGTTGTATGATTCTATGTAAAATTTCCAGAAGAGTCAGGAGCAAAAGTAGATTAGAGATTGTCCTTGGCTAGGGGAGAGAGAGAAGGAAATGACTGCTTAATAGATGTACAGTTTTTGAGGCCATAATAAAATTGTTCTGAACTAAATAGGTGATGGCTTCCTAACTCTGGAATACACTAAAAGTCAATTAATTGCCCTGGCGGGTTAGGTCAGTTGGTTAGAGTGTCATCCTGATAGGCTAGGATTGTGGATTCAGTCCTAGTCAGAGCACATACAAGAATCCACCAATGAGTACATAAATAAGTGGAACAACAGATCGATGTTTCTCTCTTCCTTCCTCTATCTAGAATCAATAAATAAAAACTTTTAATAAATAAAAATTGTAAATTTGTAAAAGGTTGGTTTTATGATATATTAATTATATCTCAATAAAGCTGTTGTTTAAAAACAAAGCTTATTATTAATATGTTGTGAAAACTATTTCTTTATGTTCTGGTACTTTTCCAACAGAAAACCTTTTGGAATTTTTCAAAAAAACATTTTTCAAATAAAAGAACCAGTGATCCCTGACTGGTGTGGTTTACTGGGTTGACCGTCAGTCATCCTGCAAACCAAAAGGTCACCAGTTCAGTTCCTGGCAGGGCACTTGCCTGGGTTGAGGGCCAGGTCCCCAGTTGGAGGCATTACGAGAGGCAGCCGATTAGTGTTTCTCTCATACATTGGTGTTTCTTTCCCTCTCATTCTCCCACCCTTTCCCTCTCTATAAAAATAACTAAAATAAAATCTTAAAGAGAACCAGTGATATCGATTCTAGAATTGTATACAATATGAAAAATTACTTTATCTTTTTAAGACTTTATTTGTTTTTAGAGAGTGGGGAAGGGAAGGAGAAAGAGTGGGAGAGAAACATCAATGTGTGGTTGCCTCTCATGTGCCTTGTGCTGGGAACCTGGCCCACAACCCAGGCATGTGCCCTGAGTGGGAATCAAACCACCACCCTTTGGTTCGCAGGCCCGCTCGTGCTCAGTCCACTGAGCCACACCAGCCAGGGCGAGAAGTTATTTTCTCAATAAAGACAAGTATACCGTATCTTCTTTATCCACTATCTTATGCCATGAAAAACATTATTTCTAAATATTTAAGTTCCTGTGCATCATGTTTTCTGCTCCCTCTAAAATGGATTACACTTTCTGAACTTTTTTATTCTTAAAAAAAGCACTTTTCCCCCAGCTACTTAAATTTAATGGGCCTAAAATGACACAAAATTTAGTAGCATTTGGAACATGTTGGATTTTCTACAGTGTTTTTTATTTTTTTTAAATTATGTACAAGTGCACAAATTTAAAGGATTTGGTTAAAAATACAAATGTTCTTTTTGTTATTTTGCTGTTTGATAGGAAGACAGCATCAAAAATGGTTGATTTTACATGTGTGTATCTTTGACTAATTTTAAGGAACGTAAACTTTCAGATTCTAGTTTGCTGTGTATATATTTCTTAGTGAGTGGAAGAAATATGGTTATGAATTAAAAAATTAATCTACTTGTCTGTAAATCGGCGGAGTTATTAAAGGCTGTGTTTTGTGAGTATGTGACTACCTGCAGAATTGGATGGTATAGTGTTTTTTGAACATGGGCTGTTTTCGAAGAGAAAGATGTATCTTCACCTGTATTTTTTCAGGAATAAAGTTGTAAAAAGTAGACTCTTCAGCTTTTTACATTTTCTTAAAATGAGAGGGAGATAGATTGGGAGATACGCATTGGGAGAAAACAAAAACTCCTAGCTATTTCATTTTGAGGAATAACAGGAAAGCATATACATACTTTAAGAAAACAACATATTTTTCTGAGTCAAGAGTGTTTATAAAAATGAGGATCCAGATGGTCAATTCAGACACAGTGTATAATGCTGTCATTTTCCCTCCCAGTTAGAAGGCTGGCCACAGAGAGCTTGCAGTACATGGTAAAAGCCTGCCAAGTGGGGTCAGAAGGAGATCCTGCCGCCCAGCTGACTTCCGTGTTTAGGTAACTGGAAAACATGCCAACTGGCAAGGGCACTGTTGCCAGCCTCTTGACAGCCAACATGTTTTTTTAAGTAACTAATTAACCAAAACATAATGTGTTACTACTTGTTTATAGTATTTCAATTACTGTATTTTTGGCAGTAGTTTTGTTACATTGTGTTGTTTTATTAAAAAATAAAGAAATAAATGTGCCAGGGAGCAAGAGAAGTGAGCTGACTTAAAATTACCTGTGCGTCTGGTCAGGGGGATTCTCGCGCGTATGTAAAAGGTGGGAAGCTCGGGTCATGGTGACGGGCACGGGCCTCCCGAGCAGCTGAGCATTTACTCAGGACGCAGCGTAGAAGTGCCCATCACGGGTGCGTTATTTGCTTGCGGTACCGTTGCCCCAGAAAGCCTCCCTGCACTTCATTTGTTGGAGTAGATCTGTGGCTTGTTCACAAGAATAACGATGCCACATAAGGAACTTTTTTTTCCCTGCCTTGCTTCTTTTGTGCTTTCTGTCAGAGCAGTATTTTAAAGTATTTCTTCCTCATAGTTTCTACCAGCTTACCTTTATCACACATATCTCTACCCCAGCACTACCATAGTAAGTAATTGGGGGTCATTTTCTTCTTCGATGTTGGATCTTGGATTTCTCAGTGTTCAGTCTTGTCACATCGTTGGCCCTTGTCAGGTGTTTACAGTCTGTTTACATTGGGAGCACTAAGTGGATTTGTGAAAACTGTGGACCTTAAGGCGGAGAAAGGATTTCTATGAATAAATGATTCATGTTTGTTGTGTACAAATTATTAAGGTGGTTTTCATTTTGTTGGGTGAGAGAGGGGAAATTTTTAGGGTTAAACTATGTCATTCTTATTTATAAAGGCCTCCTATGGGTCTAGAACCTCTTGCTCAGTTCTAAATATAAAAATATATTATTAATAACTTGCTTTTCTCATAAAAGTATTGTTTCGTTTATCTGGAGATATGAAGTACTAAGAAAATCTAGGAAGACAGGCTTATTTTTTTCTTTCTTTCACATCCTTAGCACCCAGAATTCAACATGCAGCACAAAAGCCCCTGGGCTTGGATTCCCCCATTCACCGTCCTGGGGTTCCAGCTCTTCCCTCCTCCTTTCAGTGGCACCGGTTTCTTCACCGCTTACTCCGAAATAAGCCATGTCTGCTCTGCGTTTTTAAGTGTTACTGTCTTAGTCTTAACTCTAGATTCTTAACGTAATCTTTCATAAAATGATTTTTCCTGTGTTCAAGTTACAGCTATAATTGCCGCGTAGATACCACCCCAGGAATCGCCCCAGAAGTAATTCTGTATAACTCGATTTACCTCCAGGGATTTCATCCAGGATTACGGTATGAGATACGACAGTCAGACATACAGCATTTTAGAAACAGTAGCCACGCTGGACCAGCAGGTTGTCCTTCACTTGGTTCCCACCCTCACTCAGGCCCTGAAAGATGCGGAGCAGAAATGGGGCCTTGGCAGAAACATCGCTCTGAGGTATGTTTGATCATTTGATTATGTTCTTTGGGGCATAATTACAAATCTAGATTCACTGCTACAAATGGCTTACTTTTCCACTCCCCAGAATTTGGTGTGCATTGAGCAGAAAGACGGCACAGTACCGTGACCGGCAAACCGTTCACACAGGGATCTTTGCAGGGCGCCACTGTGGACAGCTGTTTCACCAGTGCTGCTGCCCCTGCAAACACATCGCGGTCCTCATTGGGCAGGAGACTGTAGGATCTCCTGTGTCTTGTTTTTGTATAAAATTTATGGTGGCAAATCAGTCCTTTGAAGGATGCTTGATTTACTAAATAAACTGTATCTTGTGTATCCAGTTAATAGGCCGAGTGACCCAATTAGATAATAAAGTTTTTGGTAAAAGATAAATAGGCTTTTTTTTAAAATAGGTTTACAGCCCTAGTGAGGACAGTGCTTGAACTAACTATTCAGGGTAATGCAACATTGGGGAGATAAGCCTGTAGTTCTAAAGAGATTATTTTAAAGGGCTTAGCACTCATCCTAGATTCCAATGTCCCAAAGTTTGTTAAGGAATCAAAGTACTTTAATCACATAGTGTGAGTGTACCAACAGACATTCAGGCAGGGTCAGTTTGTTAATATGTAAATGAAACTAATGGAAAAGGCAATAAATATATTGGCCTCCTTTTCTTTGTTTCTCGAACAGGAAAGCCTATAGCAGACTTTTATCTCGCCTAGGACAAGCGGGACAAGATGAGATACAGAGACTGGAAAATGATAGCACCTGATATGCTTTGTGATTCATCTTTTCTACTCATTATAAAAGCTACTTCACATCATTCTGATTCCTTTTAATTAATTGTATACCGTTCTGTTAGAATTCTTTTCTAGGTTTTTTTTCTTACATACCTGTGCATATACTTAGTATGTAAATAAGTAAATAAAGGTTACATAAGTATGTTATAGGATCTTTGGAACTTGGTGAGACCACATTCTGTTTGAAGAGATTTTAGATCAACTAAATTAAAGATACTTTTTCTGACCGGAAGTGTTATCTGTGCAATAATTACTAAGCACACTTGTACTTGTTGGTCCATGGACTTTTTACTGTAGTGACTTATGTCTTGTGGTTTGTGTTTGTTGTGTTTTTTGCAAGTTATGTTTTAATAAGATGCCTTTTCAAGGCTTTTTGAAAGGGGAAGGGGTCAGGAGATAGGACTGTTATCATTTTTTTAGATTATGTGTGAGGCAACTTAATAAAAAAACCTTTACCAAGACTGCTTACCTCTCTGAGCAGTGAGACGCAGTCTGCCGAAACGATTATGCAGTTTATGTAAATGTGTACATACATATTCTTTAGCAGTTAAGCCAACGGTGCTGGTTTAGGTTCCCACAGTCGCCAGATGTCTGTGCCTGTTGGCCCTTCCTTTTGGAGTTGCACTAACAGACACATCAGGAGGAGGATAAGCACGAGTCTGTAAGAAGGGGATAAATAGTAATGTTCTGGCAAATCTTAGTATTACAAAAACTGAAGTCTGAAAAGTCAGCTGATTTCTCTCCTTGCTCTTTATTAATTAGAGTGTCTTATAACTGCGTCTTACAGGTTTACAGGGAACCAGTTTAGTTCCTTTAAGCAGCCGTTGTCTGTAGACTTCCTAACAGTCTCCGGATTCAGTTCACCAGTGGGCCCTTGACCCCTTGGGTGGTAAGCATCGTCTGGTGCAAGGCACTCCAGTCCTAGTGTTCGGACCCACCTGGGCCTTGGACCTAGTTCTGCTTTGTGACTCTGAGCAAATTACATAACCTTACTAAACCTCACTTTCTTCATGGAGAAAATAAGGATCATTCTTTTTCTATTTTACAGTGTCCTGATAAAAATCAGGATAATGTATGTGAAAATATTTGGTGATCTATATTCAGTTTAGATATGTTAGATATAATTATTGTATTATTCATGCACAAAGGTAAAAAAAATTGTGATTTTGTTCCTCTTTTTCTAATGTGTCCTAGAAGAATGATCCTACGTTCCTTTTTTAAATGTTTTCTTATGCATCATGTTTGCTATCTTTCGAGTAATATATTTCTTCCTGGGGCTCTGCTTATTATAGTTGTATTCCTTCAAGAAAACATTCCAACCCCCTACTGATCCAAAAAGTATCTTTAAAAATAAAATGTATTGCAATCAGCAAAATATAGTTAGTAGACCTCTCCTAATTGTAATCTGAATTCTAAAGAAGTATCTGTTGTTTTCATGACATGCAAAGTCTATTCCCCCTCCCCCACTTAACTCTTCTTCAATGAAATGAAAGTCTCTTCAGTTACTTAATAGACCTTATAGCAATGAATTTCTTGTCATTATGATAGTGACTGATTAAACTATTTCATCTATTTAAGGTGATGCTTTTAAAGGGATTATGTATAGTTTATGTACTTTTCCAAGGCAGATTGATAAAGATGTCTGGGAATCTTGCTCCATAGTACATAAAACTTTTAAGGGATAAAAAAAAGATGCTCCGGAATCGTGTGTTAGGATATATAACTGTATGTGCTGAGAATAACTAAAGTTTGTACTTAAAAAAGCAGTTGCAACAAAAAGTCTACCAATACAGGTATATGGTTTCTTTATTATTTATAAGGAGAATTTTTGAAGAAGCTGAGTTTTTTTAACTGAAGAGAAAAATTATGACTCAGTTTCTTTCCTTGAAAATCTCCATTGGCCCTTCGCATGTTACTATAGTCTCGTCGTTTTCCATTCCCAGACCTAGAGAGAGGACCTTATGTCGGCTTCCTTAATACCACGATCTCTGAGGCTGCTGCTCCTGCCTTTGGTTTCATAAGTCACTCCCTTTTGGTGAAATCGGAGAGTGTGTTCTCATTTCTCACGTTCTTTGGCCTCTGCATAACACCTGCATTTTCCTTCATCGTCTCAGTCCGCCCTTCGTGATCCTGCCCCTTCCTACCTACACTGGACTTTGAGAGCACCTTCCCATTCTTCTTTCCTATCCCCAGCATTAAGATCTGGGCCTCCACCGGTTCTGTCTCAGCATTCTTGTAGTAGTCAGTGGATAACACCAGCTTGTAACTTTCTCACATCTCTTTCTAGGGCTAATTTCTCTCTCACCCTCTCTGATCTGAGCCTCCAGAAATCTCAAAGCAACAGGCTGGGCTGCCCTTGTCAGCACCCTCTGTTCTATTCTACCCTGTCTTTATTCCCTACCAAGGGAATACACTGTTTTCCCAGGTTACTTAGCTGTGAAACTTCAGAGTCACCTCGGATTCTCCACGTTCCCCAATTCCGGTTGACCAGCAGTACAGGCTCTTGCTGTTTTTTTGTCATCTCATGCATCTAAACTTTTTTCTGCTGAGCGCCATAATCTCTCATCTCTGGTCTCCTTTTCTTCAGTTAATCCTTCTCACAGTTCTGGCATTTGTTCCTAAAATACTACTTTTCTCTTGTTACTTTTCTGCTCAGGGCCTTCAAATTACTTCCCATTGTTAATAAACTGATAGCCAGACCCTTCAGTCTGGACACTTCCTGCCATCCGGCCACCTCTCCTGTCCAGACTCACCTCCAGCCGAGACTGGACTGTCCTGGACTGCCAGAGGCCGTGTTCACTTTATACTCTGTGAGTGTGCCACTCGAGGCGTGGTGATGTCTGTAAGCTGTCAGATGGAGCGTAAGAGAGATGACTGAAGGGCAACAGGCTGATAAAATGACTTTATTGGACATTCAGATTTGGTTATGATTTAAATTTTAATTGAACATTGAATTAGGTTTCCATGAGGGGGAAAAAACAAAAAACATGGAGAATTGTCTCTGTACAAAAAACATTTAGTATTGGGTTCATTTGCATTAGAACAGTTTCATAATTTAAAACTTACATATCTGTACTATTCCTAGCATATTTTCTTTTCCCCTTAAGTGTAACTTTTTCTACCTGGGCATCTATGTAAAGAAGTTAGTTGTGGGTTGCGAGACTATGTGCATGTGTTCGTCATCACTGTTATCTTCTCTCATGCTTTATCACAAAATGTTAAAGCCGCTTTGTTCATCAACAGTTATCATACATGGATTCATTTTCGTGTATTTTACAGACTTCGACAGTTTTTACTTTTATGTCCCCTTAAGATTATATGCGATGCAGAAATTTGCAGCTGGGAAAAGCCTGTATAAAACCTGCCTTCCCTGAATATACATGTTAACTTGGCGCTTGTGTTTCGAAGATAAAAGGTAGATATCATAGAAACCTCACCAAGAGTTGTATTATCATTACTAAGCCACTGCTTGTAGATTGGTAGACTTTTTACATAAACCTTTCATTCTCCAAAAACTGGTCTCCTGTCTATTCCTCCTAGGGTTAAAAATATCGCCTTGTCAGACAAGTGTACAAGGGGGGGACCCATAAAACACGGATTATCTTCTGGAGGGCGTGCCCCTTGTGGTACAGGCTTCCCCAATAGGTGAGTGTTCTAGGAGCCCAGCTGCATCAGTGTACCAGCTGGTGTTGTTGTGAGAGGCTGCATTTGGCTTCAGTGAATTTTTTTTGAAGACTCTTTCAAACACACGTGCCGATTTCATGACGGGTGATTTCCGAGCATACCTGCCCATACCTGTGTTTAGCAGTTTTTGACCAAAAACAGCTGAACAGCCCTATTCACCCACTTTTGTCCCAAGTGACTTTTTTAGGTTCCCCTTATGAAAAAAGTCCTCAGAGGGAAACATTTGCCAACATGGAAGACGTGAAACAAAAAATGGGAGATGCATTAAAAAACATCAAAGTTGATGAGTTCAAAATTGTTTTTAGTGGGATAAATGTTGTGATAGGTGTATTGCATCAAATAGAGTATTTTGAAGGTGACTGAAGTTTAAACATGTAAGAACATGTACACAATTTATAAATTTCGGGTCTTTTTTGGTTCCCCCTCATACAATATATCAATATAAATAATGTGCTTTGTTAGGCTAAAACTGTTGGTTTCAGAAGCTAGCAAAGTAGCATACTCTCACATACTTAATAAGATGACACTGGTGTTTTGATTCAGTGATAAACTATATTGGTTAGGTTAGCAAATTTAGTACTGTGTGATTGGAATTGACTAATTTGTGCTCATTAAAGTTTTTGGTGTGTTAATAGTTCCTTGACTTATTGCATTTGTGAATTGTACTTTTAGAAAAATTCGGGGCATTCTTATACACATGTTTATAAATTATTTTGTGCATATAATGATATATAATAAAAATATATATGTATTTAACTTACACTGCACCCATGATTATTCGATTTCACTTTTTATGACATTGGTTATTTGAAAACCAAAATAAAAATGAGCCATGTTAGCAGGAGAAATAATTTCTATCTTATTACTATTGCTTTTATACTTTGTAGCACACCAGTTTCTCAGCTATTGCAGTCTCTGAAGGGGATGCAGTGCACCTCTGGTTAAACCATGAGGGAAGTACTCATAACCCAACTGACACTGTGGACTAAGAATGTAGGGAACTGTATTGCGTTGTCCAGACGGAGTATTTGGAGAGTCGTGTCTTTGCTGGCTTTTCTTCCCATAGCAGGAACTCTCTGCTGGTGTCTGTGCACTGCTGCTTTTTCTCTTTTAAACTAAAATCCTGAAATGTTGTTTGAATGGTTGGAAGTTTCATGGCTTTCCTATGGAAATTCAAATTAATAATTTAAATACAAATACAATATGGACTTTAATTTTGAAAATAGAAAATGGATTACTATAGAATAGTGCAAGTAAGTGGAAAACATATATTTGAATAGTTTCAATGGAATTGAGTTTATATGACCAAACATAGTTTTTTCTTACTTTCTTTTATTATTGATAATTTGAGCAAAAGGATCTAATTATAAGTGATCTATGAGTTTTTTTTCTAGGGGACAGACATTGTAATTTGGATGCTGTTCTCTGGCCTGAACTATAAAGCATGTTTCTGAAAATTATGTAAAGTTTTAAATTCTGAGTTCAATTCTGTAGTATTGGTGAATACTGTGTTTACCAGTGAGAGGTTTGATAGTGTGTAATGATTTGTTTTAAATGACTACTTACAAACCTACACAGAAACAAGAGTACTCTCCAGCTACCTTTCAATTACCATCAGGCAAACTTATTTTTAGACCCTTTCCCTTTCACTCATTGAATATAGGGTCTGGGGTTACAAATAGATATTAGTGGTTTTATAAGGTAACACTGCTACAGGGAAAAACTCAAGCAGAAGAATGAATGAATCTGAAATATTTCTTGCATAGGTCCTTGTTGAAAAGAATTCCAAAATGGCGGAGTCCATTTTCCTGACTAGGTAAGGCATCTTTAAAATTTCGTTTAGATGATTTATACCTTTTGAACAGATTCTCAGTCACCCTTCTAAATAGCAGTTGTCAATGTCACTTTCAGAATTGTAAAAATACCTTTAAGGTTTTTTGTTTGTCTAAACTAAATGTTTTTTTTTTAGTTCACTTTTTTTCTTCACTCCTGGTCTCTCTCCTCTCCCACCCTTTAGTCTGGATAACCAAAAGTTACATGTATGTACTTAAAAATTAACATTTTAGGTATCTTATACAATTAGTGAATTCTATATTTAGAATAAAGTATTTACATGGATAAAATGAGAATTTCCTATAAATCAGTGATTACTGAATGATTAAACTATGCCAAGGAAAAAAAGTAAAATCTGTTAATAAAGTTGACTTAGATCCCAACAAGATTGGGAAAAGGGGAAAACTCAAATTATAGTTGTTGGCTGAATGTTCAAATTGATCATTGAGTTGTTTTGTTTTTGTTGTGGACAAAGCAAGTCCAAAAACCTAGCCTAAAAATAATCCTTATGCATTATTAAGAGTGGTGGTAATAAAATATGTATTGGTTGTGGGGAAGAATCCCACAAGGACTCAAGATTGACATAACCTTTAACAAAGTGGAAAAATTTCTATTAGAACTACTGATTCCAGGTTCACATTTATGTCAAAGCACTTTATGGTACCAAAATTAGTACGACTAATTTTTTCCAGTACAAAATGTCACTTTTTTACTAAATTTTAAAGGAGATGTTTGAGTTATTATTTGAGGCAAGGATTTGTACAAGGTTAGGAATCTTTGGCTTTGATAAAGTCCCTTTTTCCAAATTAGCATTATCTCTTACACATGTTTTTTAGAATCCTGCGTCCCAGAGCATGTGTTTGAAGTTCTATCTAGTAGTTTTTAAACCTCAAAAATAATCTCCCTGTTCAGTTAGAAGATTCTAAAAAGACAGTAAAATACCTTGGAATTTGAGTAACATTTTTTCCTTAGGCAAAGTACTTCAGAGTATTTGCCTAATCCTGACAACATCTGTCTGAATTAATGTGGGAATCAGTAATTATCCTCCTGAAAGTGGGAAAACTGAAGCACTGTAAAGGTGGGCCCCTGGCCCAAGATCACAGTCGTGATCAAGGTGAAAACTCTGGATATTCCAACTGCTATTCCACTGTACTGCTATTATTTGTATTACCTTAAATAAAATACAGCATTTAAAAATTTATGATGTCATAATGGTGAGTCTCATCTGAATGCGGCTGCATAATGTTCATGCTCCCAGGTTTAAGTAGTAAAGGGACTGAGTACTGAAGTTCTTCTAAATGTCAGTGGTGACAGCACTTGGAAATAAACTGACTGATGCTGCCGTGCTATCCTAGACAGTACGGATTAGAAAAAATGTAGAAAAATGCTCTGAAGACCCACAGAACAGTGATGGACCATTAAGTTGACACGAAGCTACACCACAGTAAAAGTCATACATACGCTATTTTGTTACACATCACACACACTGCAAAGGGTGGTGGGAATTATCGGCTATGTATTTTAGAAAATTCTTAGATTCTTTTTTTTTTTACACTAACATTTATCTGAATATAAGACCTATAAAACAAAACAAGGAAGCATTGAGCACGGAGTCATTCATGCCCAGTATCCGATGATCAGGCTTTTTCTCCCTCCTCTTCATAACGGTTATTAATGGAGCACTGGCTTTTCAGACGGTGCCGATCCTGTGATGAGGCACTTGGAGAGTTTGAAGATTAGGGCATGTGAAATAGGGAGCTGGAAGGAAGCATGCTGCTATCCCATTGGAAGCAAAAGGCAGAGTAGGCCCATAGAAGACTTCTTCTTTGCCTTCTCTGCTTACATCCAGTACCTGTGAAGGAAGAGAAGATGCCTGCATGTCAAAGACAATTGCTCAGAATGGAGCTGTGTGCACATACAAGGAAGCCTGCAGTTAAATTGTTATGCCAACATGACCATACCTTAGCCGCTGTTCATTTTCTCTTGCTGCAGTACCAGAAATACGTGTTAAGTTGCTAAGTGATGTTCTATGTATTTATACACGTGTGCGTGTGTATTTACAATAATTAAATCTTTGGAACAGGGATGAAGTAGGTAGCATTATCCTCTTAAAGTAACTGCCTTAGGCTGGTCAAATAATTTGTCCAAATTAGTGAGTGTTGTCATATTCTGGCTTACAAATGCTCAGTTGTAAAATCAAGGAAGCAACACTGACCCTGCAGCTTTGTTCTGAAAATTGGTGACACTTAGCCCAGTGTCTGCCACGTAGAATATACAGGACATCTTAGGAGCAAGTTGAAAATCAGTTCATTTTGGAAATTTTTCCCAATATCCCCTTCAACCAGGAGTTCTATATTTTTGTTACGTGGAAGAGAGTTTCTTTGTCATTCTGTGCCTGATGTCATTTTACCAAATCTGACTTAACCTCTAAAGTAGGAATGTTCTGTAGGAACACTGGTCAGATGCTATTTATCAAACCCATTCAGCTCTTTTCAGCCCTCAGATGCCTCAGTCTCTTTCTATTTGAACTTCCTCTCACCTCATTCCAAACAGGCTGAGGTGAAGGAGGACATTACGTAATGAGAAAAGGGTCCAAGAGGATGTAACAGCTGTAAATAGCTACACACCCAACACAGAAATGCCTGACTGCAAAAGCAAATATTAATAGACATAAAGGAAGAGACTGATAGAAATAGAAGACTTTTATATCCCACTTACATCACTGGAGAGATCATCCAGATGCCCCCTTCAAAAATAAAGCACCCCAATAAGAAAACAGTCACCTTAAATGTCACTTTATACTAGATTTTTATGGAGCATTTCACCCAAAATCTACAGGGGGAAAAAAAAACATTTTCTCAAGTGCACATGGGGCATTCTCCATTACAGAGCACATGTTAGGCCACAAAACAAGTCTCAAGTTCAAGAACATTGAAATTGTATAAAATATGTTTTCAATCACAATGGCATGAAACTGGAAGTAACTATAAGAAGGAAATGGCAGGGAAAAGACACAAACATGGAGATTAAACACTATAAAATGACAGAGGAAATCAAACAGGAAATCAAAAACTACCTTTAGACAAATGTAAATGAAAACTTTCTAAAATGTACAGAATATAGCAAAAGCTGTGTTAAGAGGGAAGTTCATGCCTATACAGACCTACCTCAAGAAACAAGAAAAATGCCAAATTAATTTTATACCTAAACAAAATAAAAACCCAGAGTAAGCAGAAGGAACAAAATAATAAAGATCAGAATGGAAATAAGTGAAATACACTAATAAAAAAATAGAAGAGATTGATGAAACTAAGAACTGGTTCTTTGAAAATATAAAATAGAGAAACCTTTAGCGATACTCAACAAAAAAAGAGCCCAGATATCAAATGGGGGAGAAGTAACACCTGACACCACAGAGATACACAAAAACATTAAGGAACACTACAGTTCTATGCCAACGAATTGGACAACCTATAAGAAGTAGATAAATTTTAGAAACATAAAAACTTTAAAGACTGAACCACAAAGAAAATCTAAATGGGCTGATGATAAAAGTGAAGCAGTAATAAAAATAAACACAAAAGTCCAGGGCCACACAACCTCCTAAGTGAATTCTACCAAACATTTAAAGAAGAATTAATAATACCTAGCCATCTCAAGCCATTCCTAAATTTGAACAGGAAGGAAAACTTCCGAATTCATTCTGCCAAGCCATCAATTATCCTGATACCCAAACCAGACAAAGACATTGTAAAACAAGCTACAGGCCAATATCCCTGATGAACATAGATGCAAAAATTCTCATAATTTTAGCAAGCTGGATCCAACAATACATGAAAAGAAATACACACGGTCAAATGGGATTGATTCCACAGTTGCAAGGATGATTCAATACTGTTAATCAGTCAACAGGATACAAGAACAAATTCAAGGGTTAAAATATCAGCTAAATAAGCAGAAAAGTATTGGACAAACTCAACATCCATTTATGATAAAAACTTTCAACAAAGTAGTTATAAAGGGAACATAACAATAAAGGCCATATATGACAAACCACAGTTACTATCATATGCAAATGTGAAAAGCTGAAAACTTTTCCTCTAATTAGGAACAGGACACTGACACCCACTCTCACTACATTTATTCAACATACCATTGGAAGTCACAGCTATGGCAGACAACAAAAAATGGAAAAGGAAAATGGAAAACTCACTATTTGTAGCTGACATGATGTTATATACTGAAAACCCTAAAGACTGTCTCCCAGAAAACTATTAGAACTAACATGAATTCAGTCAAGTTTCAGGATACAAAATTAATATACAGAAATCTTTTGAGCTGCTGTACACTAATAATAAATGATCAGAAAGAGAAATTAAGAAAACAGTCCTATTTACAAATGCATCAAAAAGAAAATAAAATACCCAAGAATAAATTTAACCAAGGAGTTGAAAGACCTGTATTCTGAAAATTACACGACTGAGGAAAGAAATTGTAAAGGGCATGGATAAATGGAATGATATCCCATGCTCATCGGTTGGAATGATTCATACCATTAAAATTTCCATACTGTCCACAGCACTCTGCAAATTCAATGTAGTCCCTGTCAAAATACTCATGGTATCCTCAGAACTAAAATAATACTAAAATTTTTATGGAACCACAAAAGGCCCCGAATAGCCAAAGCAATCTTGAGATAGAAGAACTAAATTGGAGGTATCACACTCCCTGATTTCAAACTATATGACAAAGCTATAATAATCAAAATAATACGTTACTGTCATATAAATAGAAACATAGATCAGTGGGACAGAATAGATATCTCAGAAATAAATTCTCGCTTATGTAGACAACTCATCTATGACAAAGAACACAAAAATAAATTCAAAATGAACCAAAGACTTAAATGTCAGAACTAAGTCCATAAAACTTGTAGAAGAAAACATAGGTAGTAAACTGACTGGTCTCAACAGTATTTTGCAGGGTATGTCTTTTCAGGCAAGGAGAACAAAAGAAAAAAAATGAGACTATCAAGCTAAAATTATCTGCACAGTGAAGGAAACCAACAAAATTACAAGGCATTATACTAAATGGAAGAAGATATTCACAAATGATAGATCCAATAAGGGGTTAACATACAAAATATGGAAGGAATTCTTGCAGTCCAACATTTTTTAAAAATTCATTATGGGAGGAGGAGAAGGCAGCAAGCCAGCAGTTGCCAAGCATATATGAAAACAAGGGACCACAAACCTCGATGGTCACAGAGGAACCAGACGGTAGGGAGACAGCAGCGGTACAGTAGTCTCATGGACGGAGCAAAGAGGAACAGCAGGGATCTCCGCTGGCGCTGGGGGACCAGCGCCTGGCAGCGAGTGCCCAATGGCACCTGGGCCAACGTTCAGTGCCCGGACGGCTGCCTCCCTGGGATTTTCCGGCCGGGGCAGCCAAGTGGCCCAGGCAAAGAGGAGCGGAAGGGATTTCAGCCTGCGCACAGTTCGAGGGACCAAGCGCCCCACGCGCAGTGTATCTGGGCGAGTGCCTGACAACGCCTGAGACAATGTCCAGCTCCCAGACTGGTCCCCCGAGCTGCTCCCTCCCTAGGATTTTCCGGCGCACAGTTCAGGGGTCCAGCACCTGGCGCGCAGTGTGTCTGGGCGAGTGCCTGACGGCGCCTGGGACAGCATTCAGCGCGCAGACTGGTCCCCTGAGCTGTTCCCTCCCTAGGATTTTTTGGCCATGGTTGGCCAGGGGACCCAGACAAACACAGGAGCAGAAGGGATTAGAACCTGCGCACAGTTTGGGGGATCAGTACACACCACGCAGCGTGCCATGACGTGCACACAGAGTTTCTAGGTTGACGTGACCAGTCCTCAGATCGGCTCCCGGCTTCCAGTCCATCCCCCTCGGACTATCTGGAAGCCTCGGGTTCCGAGGGGTCCTGGGGAAAGAGCTGAGACCCTCAACCCCCTGCCTTTCTGGCCAAGCAAGGTGGGGTGCCAGGAGAGACTTGTTTGATAGAGTTTGCTGAGAGGGTACTGAGGACAAAGGGCCCCAACTGAGGACTCTGTGGTTGCCAGCCCAGGAGAACTGAGAGGTACAGCGTGGGGCTCTGACTCCAATAGACACAACAGCCTGGTATGCTCCACACCCAGCTTGGTAGGGCACCCAGCCTAAAGCTTCCCCACAGAACAGGGGCAGGTCTGTGCTCAATCTGGAGGGAACCAGGCAACTAGGCTGGCGCAGTTGCCCACAAGCACTGCATACCAGTCCATGGTAACCCCTGGGAGGGGAGCGCTGTGAGGAAGTCCTAGTTCCCCATTGTAGGGAGCTGGGGAGAGGCGCCAAGTGTCTCGCTCCTGAGAGAGGGCTGGCAGAAAAATCACGTTAATCAATCCTCAGCCAACTGCAGCCAGAAAAACTGGTTCGGCTAGTTTGAAACCAACAAATGACATTTCCTTTTTTGTTGTTGTTGTTTTGGGGTGTTTTTTTCTCTTTATTTTATTTTTATTCCTTTTTTTTTAACCTTTCTTTTTCCATTCCTTTTCTTTATATTTTTGCTTTTTAAAAGTAATCTGGTATTTCTTTTAAATTTTATTACTGTTTCATCTTTCAATACTTTTGTCCTCTTTTCTCAAATTTTGTTTTATTCCTTCTTCTTTTCTTTCTAAACTTATAACTCTTTCTTCCATTCCCCTACCCTTTTTTTCTTTTATTTCTTTCCTTGTCTTTTATTTCTTTTACTCACAAGAGTCACAATCAACTTGAAAATACGAAAAGATCAGAGCTGGACCCATAGAACAGGCCTCCCAATAGTAGAGTCAGAGAGACAAATTGCACATTGCTGAAGGA